TAAAAACAATAATTTTTGGCAGTCCAGCGCCAATATTTTTCATGCCGGTGAAAATGTTTAAATCTCCTTTTGAACACACATTTGATCCTGGTCCAAGTTCATTCATAATTACTGTTCTTTAAAAAGAAGGATAGGAAGGTACGTGGGCAAAGCGTCATAACTTGTCCAAAACATTTTTTAAGTTTAAAAAATGAGAAATTTTAGCCCAAAGATTATCCAATCCAGTCAAATATAATAATCCCACCAAAGGTTCGATAGAACGATATTTTAGTTAACTTAATTGACTTAATGACCGCGATCCGACTCTCTGATGCTAAAAATGAAATAAAATTCGTGTTTAACAGAAAGTGGCAGCGAGAAGCTCTCACAGATCAAGAGTCGATCAACTGTCGGTAGATGGCCCTTAGAAGAACTGAATCGTAGGAGAAGGGTCATTCTCACCCAATTAAGGATAGGCCATACGAGGTTACACGCGGACATTTACTTTTGGGCCAAAGCCAGCGTATGTGTGCATTTAGAAAAACGTTGCTCGATATGTCCCACGTAAGAAGGGTGCAATTCCTTGGCTTTATGCAGGGTGTTACAGGGTTAAATGTGAAGACTGCCATCACTAAATCAAACGTAGTCCAATCCAATCCAACGAAGTTTCTATATTGTCTCTTTCCTGAGATGTTAAGATTTATTGATTTTAGTCTAGAATCAATTTTTTTAAACATAAAATCGTAATTTCTCAACTATAGACTCATTGAAATATACATCTGATATTTATTTCACAAACTGGGAATGGGGAATCTAATAACAGCATGCGATGGGTGCTGAATTGACTAGCAGTTGATAGCATCCGAGGCCAGCCTGTCCGTAATTTATTGTAAATCACAAAAACTGGAATTGCTGGTGAACTGCAAGAAGTGATAAGCACAACTCTGTACATGTGTATAGGCGAACTTATAAAAATCCAAAACCAAAAATCCATGCACGATATGTTTTATTTTTTTTTTACATATGGGTTAAAGTCGGTCCAAAAAGGAAAGGACAAGGAAAGAGGAGAGACCTCTCTGACGTATCCGTGAAAAAATGTCCATATCCTTAAATGGGCGGCAGCCTCCGCAGACCGTAGGAAGGAGAGAGAAGATCGTCAGGACACCCACAGAATACCGGCGTTAAGGTCGCTTACTCGACAAGACGTCTTGTCAGCCTCGATTAAGCCCAATTTCAAAGAAAAGGATATATTTCATCTTTTCCTTTCAGCTTTTAGCACATTTTACACCGTGGGTCAATTTTTTTAAACATCCAACTGCCCTATTCTAATGGGCAAATGCCAGAAGACGAAGCGCCATGTCGGTGAAGATAAAAATACAACGTTAGAAAACTTAAAATAAAAGAATAAGCAATTTGTGAGAAAAAAGTACAATCCTCTTGGAAGGCATTGCTAAAATCAAGCTGTACAAATAAAAATTTAAAAAAGGCAAAACCCATAATCATCAGGCTCTGCTAAAGGACTTTAAACATTCCCATACGTACTAAAATCAACATTGTATATTAGAGAGAAAGAAGAGAGCAAGAGAAAAAAAAACCGGTCCAACCAAATCTGTCTTTCTAGTGGACACTGCGTACAAAAAATGGTCAATTAAAGTCATAAATTGACCAAAAAATACTAGCTAATCACAAAAGCTAATAACGAGGACCCACGTGTCTTTGCAGACTCGCCAGAAACTGCTAGAGCTGGGCTAGAATTTGCTACCGTCCCCATAATATTCGACTTAAATTCCTTCAGATTTTCCCTTCTTCCACGGTTTATAAAACTTAATGAGAAAAACTTTTTCACTTGAGAACTGCGGAAAACGCACCGTGAACATCGCTCAAAAAACCTGAAGTTCAGGAGAATGGAATTACAAATTTACATGGAAGACGGCAACAAAAATTTTCATATATTCTTGATCAAATTTTTATACAAGTACATGAAGTCATTTAATTTAATCGCGAAAAACGTTGCAGACTTATTTCATTAACAGATGGATTAATTCCGGAAATGTGCTTTCTAAGCCCCGATAGACTTAGGAATATTTTGATTACTTACGTTGACCTACCACACCTATACATTTGATTTCTTTCATTTGTTTTAATTCCTTGCCCATTAAATATTAAACAAAACTTTATTGTGATTTCCTTTTTTTTTTTTACCTTTGACTTTTCAGTTGATTACAAATTATTTCCCCCATAACTATTTTTACACTAAATATTACGTTTAATTCGCAAATATTTCGGCAGGATATGCACCAGAAACATTAAAGGAAAGCTGGAAAACGTTTTAATACCTTTAGTTGGGCCTACATACTTAGAACTTGGACGGTCTGAGAAGGTGAAAAAAAACTTTTGATAACCAGAAAACCACCAACTTTCACACACTTTTCACTTAAAACTCGTACACACCGCATCCAATTGAAAATATTATTAATTAAAATGAAAGTATTTAACATTTCAAGTCGAATAAGTACCTGATCTATGAAATTCGAGCGTGTAATGTAGCGTAAATGTCGTAATGGAAGAAATTCTCACTGACTTTTCACCGATATCCCAAAACAGCTCATACAAACAAAAATAGATATGGATTAAAATTGTAGTGAATCTAACCTTTCAAGTTTGGTCAATTTTAAGTATACACATATGCAAAATTCAAAATTTACTCCGGATTTCGGGGCCCAAAGGCCTCTTGAGCCAATTGGCAAAACTAGATTTAATGAACAACGCTCAAAATAAATTTGATTGAATTAAAAAAATAACGTACAAAATCAAAAGAGACCATATATCAAAAACTAGGAAGTCTTCCTATGAAATAACAGTTCTCTATTTCTAGAAATGAGTCACAATCATTTATCGGATTTTACTAGATTGTGATTTCTGTAATCGTCACCTTTGCTTAAATTTTCCTATGATTCCAAATGCAATTTCGAAAAAACCAACACTAAGTATACGAAGCATAAACTTATAAAATATAAAACTCATCCAAGACGAATGTTCTGAAGTAAACTGATAGTCTTAAACTGATGCAATTAAAATACAGAGGGAAATTATCACAATAAAAATTATAAAACAATTGCTATAGTAAATAAACAAAGAAATTACCAAACAAACGAGTACCAAATTTGAGTCGAACTGCAATAGTTTAAAAACTTAGCATAATTACATGACTAAAATAGACCTACAGTCATAAACACTTGAATAATTGTGTAATTAATTGTTCATAATGCACTCAAAATCTTTATCTACTGTCAATACGCTTGAACACAACATCATGTAATAGCAAAAATATGAAACATTGGGCTATTTCAACAGCTGACTACTTACAAAAACCAATTCGTCTACAAATCTACATAGCCGAATAAACAGAAATTTACTGAACAATTGTTTCTAATGCTGGCAAACATTTACTTCTCTAATCTCAACTTTTCCCACTTAAAAACAAAAGGACAATCATACTACATATTTATTTTAAAACATTCTTTGATAATGAAAACAATTCAATGAAGCAACAAGGCAGTAGGCAAAGATTAAATTAAACAACAAATAATCTTATTAAAACTGATGAAATTTATCTCAAATTCTACAATATTTGAAAGCAAGAAAAACAATTGAATCTAGTGTGTATCAACAATGTAATATTAATAATTTTCAATTAATTTACTATTTATATTTAGATGAAGACACGATTGAAACTCTAAAGAGCCAAAAAGAAATGAAAATTTCCTTGAGCCCGTTTAAAACTTACGTTTTATCGCGTCCGTGCATTTCCAGCAGGTAAACATTCTTATTTAATTATTTGTTTATCGTTGTTAGCTAGATCCTTAGTTTTAGCATGGAGCAACTATTTCAGCGATGGGAAAACTACTGATAAAGATCTCAAACGGCCAGTTAATAAAACCGAACCGCAGATGCAATTTAAAAAAGATCGTATCCACTTGTTAAGATTATAGAGATTCTTTAAAAACAAGGCAGAAGGGAAATGTTTCCTTAAATAATAAATTTTCAAAAAATTTCTAATTTAATCCATTTGGACAATTGTAAAATTAAAACTAAGGATTAATTATATTTTAGCATATAACGAAATTTAGGCAGAATAATTACCAAGTTTAGAATAATACAAGCATAATTAACTTCAGTAGCAGAATATATTCCCTTGCTAATATATAAGTTTATGACTATGAGACTATGAGAGTAGAATTATCATAAAAAATTTGTGAGAACGCAGGAACAATAACAGTGAGAACGTTGTACAAATTCCATTCAATTGTTTAATTTTCTTTTTATTGCAAAATCCGAAGCTATCAAATTAGATTAACAATGATGAAATTAAATGAAGAAAGATGGCCAATGCCAATCATTTTAGGAAATGTTGCCACGATAACCGATGGTATAAATATAGGAAAAAATATATAAGAATATAAATAACATGAAAAAACTATAAGATGAGATATATATAAAGAAAGAAATATATGTGTGTATAAATAGAACTAAAATAAAAATTAAAAATATGCATATTAACTAAAAAGAGAAAGAGATATTCTCTTGCAGGCAAAAAACACACAAACAGACAAACCGAAAGAAATACAAAGATAGTCAGACAGACAGGTGCCAAAAAGTTCAAAAATAAATACAGAATTTTCTGCCAAAAAGGGTAAGCGAGTGATTGAGTAGATTAGTGAAATGAGTAAGCGAGTAGTAAGTTAATGAGTGAGGAGTTAGCGAATGGGTGAGTGAATTATTGAGTGAGTAGTGAGTTAGTTAGTGACTAAATGAGTGAGTGGGTAGGTGGGTGAGCGAAGGAAGGAACATCTAGTTTAAAAGTAAATATAGACATTTCTGCTAAAAAGAGTGATGTGATAAAAGGGGTGGGATTGATTCGAGGGGTTGATTTATAAAAAGAGGAAAAATAAATACAGAATTTGAGAAGAATGAGAGGGAGGCGGTGAATGAGTGGCTGGGTTAGTAAGTGAGCGAGTAATGAGTGAATGAGTTAGTAATTGAATGAGAGAGTGAGTTAATGAGTTAGTGACTGAATGAGAGAGTACAGTAATACAGAGTAAGAGTGACAAATAATAATCTTAGTAATTAAAAAATCAATACAGATTTTTCTGCAACGAAAACTATGAGTGTGAGCGAGTGGGAGTGCGAGTGTGCATTGTTAACATCATTACTTGTCCTGCCATACCGATTACACAATTTAATCTTCAATTTTCAATTTTATCCGTTTGTTACAACCAAAAATAAGATTTGTATCAAAACGACATTTCAGCTAATACAGTTGTAATTGTTATAAGATTATTAAAAAAGACAACTGGGCTGAAAAATTGAAACAGTTCGGTGTAAGTATTGTTTGTTTCGTTCTTTAGCAATATATGGTCAAACGTTTGTTTTGGATCAAACAGCCGTGTGATGTTGTACAGGAACTCCTGTACGTGAAAAATTAGCAAAATATTTGACAGACGTGTTGTCCTAAATTGGCCAACAAACCTTAAAAGAGATTTCAGTGGATACTTAACAAAAATAATACGCGACCATGGACCCATTGTAGACCAAGGCGACGCGACGATCCGCTCCTTGAAATTTCAGTGCTAACGAGATAGCAACCGGGTCCCATTGTCGTCCTGTTCGTCCTTTCAACTATTATTTTCGATAGAAAGACGACAAATTTTTCAATTATAACATTTCCGTCGACCCTTGTGCCCGAACGCGTAAATAAAATATGAAAAACCCCTTCTGAGATAATTCCATAGCCTGTTTACAACTCCTTGGTCCCAATGACATCAGACCCCATTGCTCGAGAGCTACGACTCAATTAGTTCATCCCAGAGATTTCATTGCGTCGGAAAATGTAACCATATACGGGTAAAAAATTGACTAATTGTTCTGAGGTTATTAAGGGCAATTGGTGTAATTAAGAGTCACACATAAAAAAAGTTTTAAAATGATTGATATGCTTTTTTTCACCGCACAGCCAGTTTTTACAAACTATAAAATTTTATTGTATCAAGCAAATATACATATACCTTTTTTAATACCATATTGTAAACAAAATGTTAAAATTTACTTGAAATATAAATTTAAAAGTTAATATTTAGTCACGTAAATAAAATAAGAAACGTACTTGTCATTTGTCATTCCCAATCTTTACACCTGACAAGTCTCTACTATGGATTTTATTTTTATATACCATTTACAATGTAAATTGACCCCTGATCTTTAATGATTGATACAAGTAGAAAATACTTAATATGGATACACGAGAATATAATAGATGTACTAAGAATATAAAACCTGTTGCGAAAAACCTCACCTACGTACAACCATACACGTAACGAATATTTAAAGTCTAATACGGCGACAAAAGTAGTACGACTTGTACAACGTAGAAGTGGAATAATATCTATTCATCCACCAAAACGTGAGAGTGAGCGACTGACAAAGAGAGCAAGAGTGAGAAAGAAGACTCACACATAAAATTATAAACGAAATACAGGTTGTTCCACCACAAAGGATGAGTGAGTTAATTAGTAAATGAGTTAGTAAGTGAATTAATTTTTGAGTGAGTTAGTGAATAAGTGTGCGAGTGAGTAGTAAATGAGCGAGTGAATGTGTGAATAAATTAGTTTTTGAGCAAGTTTGTGAGTGAATGAGTAGTGTGAGACTAACAGACCAATAGTAAGAAAAAAATTCTTACACTCAAAAAAGATTTCAAATAAGTACGATCGTTACGCCAGAAAGAGTGAGAGAAATATTGAGTGTGTAAGTAACAGAGTGAGCGAGTTAGTAAGTTAGTAATTGAGTGATTGGTTTTTAAGCGAACTGTACATCATGTTGTTAATTTTTTATCCATGGTATTTTGTTTTTTTATCAATGATAAATTTAACTCTTGACCGTGTATCATAATCTAATTTAATTTATTTTCTGTAAATAAATGATATAACAGATCTCTTAAATATATGTCTACACTCTAATTATTATAAATTTAATAATAAATTTTATGAAATGAAAGCGTTAGCAATGGGGTCTTCTTTATCCCACTTTATGCCGAAATATTCTCGGATAATTTTGAAAAAATGCTTTCCAAATGAAATAACGGATTAAGTCTGTCCTTTTTTGGAAATGCTATGTAGATATTTCAATGTATCGGTCGAACGCTAGAGGATCTAAAAGAATTCCTCCAATTAATTAATTCTTTACACCCTAGTATTAATTTTAGATTGGAAATAAATATTTTTAGACTTAAAACTGTCCATAATAAATGACTTAATTGAAATATAAATATATAGGAAACCCACTACTACAGACACTGTGATACCAGCAGATTGTTCGCACCCATGGACCCAAAAGGCTGATGGGTTCATTTAGCTCATAGACGGTATGTTGAAATTCCCATTAACATATGATAATTTTTTAAAAAATTACAAACAATTAATGCCTTGGCTAAAAACAATATATATCGAGAAATATTTACCGATACGTTGCTAGTAAAAAGAATATTTTAAAAAATTAATTTTAAAAGAAGACAATTGGACTCAGGTTTTTAGGTTTTCGTTGCTTGTCATATATTGGTGAAGTATCAAAATAAGTAGGTGAAATTCTTAAACGAGAATGTTGTAGAGTAGCTTTTAGAGGTACGTGTTAGAAACATCCCTCAAAACCTAGAGTCAAGGTTGACAACCCGAATTTAGGATCATTGTAACCAACAAATCTGTGAACAATCATTTACAAAAAGTGAATCTACATATCCACCCCACCTTCATCATTTCTACACAATATATCGGTCTGCGCAAATATAGTGTGTATGAATTATTGTGTCTGATTATGTGTGGGTCTATATTTAATTGTATCATAGCATACATAGTATATCCATATCTTCATAGCGAATAAATTAAATGTGAAAGACTGGAACATTGAAATTTTCTACATTTATGTAAGTTCATCGAGTATTTATGTGTTGTATTAGAAGACACATTTTAGAAGGAATACGCGTATTGTAAACGATATTTTGTCTTCTACGAGCGGTTCAAATTTCTACTCATCCTTACAAAAATTGAACAAACAACGTGTAAATTGGTTATTTTTTCAAGAGCAAGTAATAAACTTGCACAGAAATAAATATTTTTTCTCACTGGAAATTCTTGAACTAAAATTAAGGGAATGTTTACTTGCGAATGTAAAAATGTTAAATCCTGTTAAGAACACGGATGTTCCAAATATAAATAATTTGATGCAAATTACACCCCCATAAAACTATACGATGGTATCATAAACTTATTTAGACCTTTGAAGAGATCACGAGCCTTTTAGATTATCTTACATATACTTATCTTCAGATTAGTTTACATACTGTAAACATGGAATAAAAAAACGCACAAAAAAGAAAAAGGAAGAAAGAAAGACGCAAGTCAATTACAAAACATACCTATCGATCTTGGAATCTATATAGAAAACAATATGGGAAAAATATCCCATAAGTTTTTAAGCCTTCGCTATGAATATTTCAAACACCACGGCTGGGACGTTTTGCAAATTTGTGTTATTGTATACCAAATGTATACAGCTCAAGAGTTTTTACACGAGCTTTTTCACATCACATGGCAAGAGAAAATGGAAGCGAAAGAACTAAAGAATGAAGAACGCGTTGGAGCATCTCCCCCACCGAGAACGAGTGAATTACTTGGCAAGTGCCTTGACGAATTACAGTCCTTATGAATTTGCACACACACAAATTTTTTTTTTAAATGGACAACTTTCAACCCAGCTATCACTAGCTCAATATCAATCGAACCGTACGACAAATCCAAAAGATTGGCAGCGAAGAGATTCATTTTACTCATTTTTGAACCGATATGGCCACAGTTGAACACAGTTCCTTCCATGAGCTGGCAAATATGGACAATTTTTGCACAAACAGCCACAAGTTATAAAAAAAATTATTAAATTATTTTATTAAAAAACTTTATGAATTTTGAATTTATTCTGAACTCCCCACACCAGCATATAACAAAAGTTCCACTTGTCTACATGCACAATCGTAACTTTATAGGTATACATAGTAAAGTGTGCAAATAAGGACTCGCCCTCACACCCACATATATATGTACAATAAAATGTTCAAATACTCTGCTGTGTAAACATTACAAACAATTTTGGGGTGAATATCTGCACAATTATTAATTAAAAACTGAATGTGGATATTCTGTGTAGTATATTCTATACATAAATACAGAATGGTCCTCCGACTAACTGTTTACTTTTAAATGGATTAAAAAACGTGTAGAGGCCCAAAATCTTAGCTATGAGATAAAAAGCTAAATGTCACACTCACTATGCTCATGCACACATACATTCACTCATACAAAAATGGGTTCAGACATACACACGCGCTCACTTGCGCTTACTGGTAGCGTTCTCACACATACAAATACGCGTTCAGACACAACGCGCTTTCTGATGATAGTGTTCTCATCCACACATGAGCTCACAACAAATACGCGTTGAGACACTCACACACACGCGCTTACTGTTAAAGGTTCTCATTCACACATGAATTCACACATACAAATACGCGTTGAGACACACACGCGCGCTTACTGTAGCATTCACACTCACATATGAGCTCACTCATGCACGTGCTTCTTCAGGCACTTATTGGTTGGTAGCGATCTCACACATGAGCACACTTATAAAATATACGCGTTCAGACACTAACACACGCGCTTTCTGTAGCGTTCTCACCCACACGAGCTCACACATACAAATACGCGTTGACACTCATGCGCGCTTACTGGTAGAGTTCTCACTCACACATGAGCTCACTCATGCACGTGCTCGTTCAGACACTTATACACGCGAGTACTGATTGCGTTCTCATTCACACATGAGCTCGCTCACTCATGGCGTTGACACACAGACATAAATAAATTATCCATAATTATTTCTAATTAACTTTATGTATAGTTTAGTGATTATTGTTTGAAATTCAATTATTTGTGATACTTTTATGAGTTGATCTAAACGAAAATTGTAAAATTAAAGTGTAAATAATCAATTTTTCTACGCTTATGCTCCTCTTAACAACAATTAATGCTATATTTAAGAATGATTTATTAATATTTATAAACAAATGTAATGTTTGTTTTTTGAACGTACCCCTTTTTGAAAACGTATGCCAGATGCCAAATATTCTCAACGATGATAATCCGAGCCATTTTTATGTTGCGGGGGAGAATTTTCCACCGACAAATAATGGACGGTTCGACAGCCGTTGAGACAAGTCGAGACTGAAGGGGTCGGCGAAAAAAAAATCTGAATGTCAAAACTGATAAGGGAGTTATAAAATGATTAACAACAACAAGAGAGAGGGAATAAAAATTAAAAAAATGTGGTGTCAAAGATATCAAATCCCACCCCTTCCACCTAGTGTTGAAAGTTCACGGCGGTTTGAAATGTATTTTACAAACATGCTGAGCGTTTAGAGAGAAAATAAAGTGTTTTTTTTTTGTTTTTTTTAGGTTTTTACCTTAAGAATGCCGAAGAACATCTTCGAAGGCCATTGGCATCTCTCGCCAACAGCCCTGTCAACCCAGCTGGAAAAAGAAAATCACAAATTTCAGCAACTTTTCAAAGGATAACCGTCTGTTGAAATAATGTCTATGTTATTAGCTGCTTAATAGCCTAAACCTGCCTATTTTAATTAGGGGTTTTCCCTTCTTTCCAAACGAATTAATATATATTCTGATATTATTTTTCAAGGTGCAAATGTTAAATGATGTCAGAGCTAAATATAGAAATGAAGTCATAGTCTTCACATGTTACATGACTTGAAAGGGAACGGGGCTGTGGGAGCAAAGAAATCAATTGGGAAATATTTTGAATACATTTAAGTTGTTTTTTTTATTAATGCGAATATATATTAAAGCCTTTCTGCAAGTACAAAGACCCTAGTTGAACTAAAATTGGTCAAAAGGTTCAAAAAATCGAGGAAAAGTTTTTCAAAACAATGTAAAAAGTTAACCTTTTTTCTCTCTAATCGTTCACTTTCCAAACAAAAACGATATAGCTCAAGAAACTAGTTAAATGATTAATTTTTTAAAATTAACTTCTATATTGAAAACACTTAGGTATAGAAATAAAATTAGTTTTAAAATATAAAAGCAATTTTCAAAACAAACATATTTAAATACAGAAAATCTATTTTTGGTTCTTTTTTTTGTTCCTTAATATTTGCGACTTACCAGAGAACAGTTTTTGGCTGATGTCTAAAAAAATTGATCACAACGTACTTCGTAGTTTACCATGCCTATTTCTTGGGGTGTTTTGTTTAAATAAAAATCTCTTTTTATTGTTTATTTGTCAAGTCGTATTGTATTTTCTTGTTGGTTTAAAAAACGTTTGGAGGTAACCGTAAACATATCACCCTCACTGAGGTCTGATCGACCGTGTACTTGGACGATGAAGTATCTGTGATGAGGGCGCTAGTCGTGCCCTAGAGCGGGATTTTCAAATTCGATTTTCATCCAATGAAATAATAAATACGTAACGTAAAAACAGTCATTAGTTATTTCTAAAGTTTTTAGTAATACTAAAATTGTAAACTGTACTGTATTCTTCTATTTCTCATCTCTGATGTTGGATGGTATTGACTGATGATTACTAAAAGCTTCAATAGATTCAAATATGTACTAGTAGTATTATAATATGTATAATACAATATTATATTAGAAAAATATTGTATTAAATAATTTCTATGTAGACACAATAAATTTAAAGATCAATTTATTGTTTGTTTGTGTGTTTGTTCTTAAACCTTAAGCCTTATTTTCATTTCTATGTCCATGTGTATATTATTTCTATGTGTTATGTATGTATGTGTATATTATTATTTCTATGTGTCATGTTATATTTATCAGCATTCCAAGCATTTTAACATTAACTAACTGATGTAAGAACTATTGGTTATATTATACCACAGTTACATTTGGGTGTTCTTATCAGCAATTTCTAATGTATGTACATCTTCAATATTGTAGAGTATACATATTTTGGTAAAGCTCAAGCTAAACATTTTCTTAAAAACCTTTGTAATGTTTTTTTTTCATAACATAAATATTCAAAACACCTATCTTTAGGTTGTTTTGGACTTTAGTATTATACTAAAACTAAAGCAATGGTTTATAATACAATTAAACATTACTTTTAAATACAATTAAATATTATATATATAAAAGGCAGCACACTATACGTACTTTGTCATGTTAAATTTAATTTCAGTTGCAAGTGGCAATTTTTTGTTCCAACATTTTCGAATTTGATTAAACAATAAAAAGCTAATACATTTTTTTTGTCTCTACTTATGATTTATTTTGAAATATTGAAAAAAAACATTCCTTTTTAATGATATAATGCTTCCTATTATTTGTTACTATAAATAAAATTATGATTAATTTAATATTGCAAATCTTGTTAAATGAGAGAGGTATAAAAAATTAATCGTCAGGAAATGAGTTTTTCTAGGACGATACATTACATTTCATTTGGCATAGTACAGTATGTGTATCATCTCTCTCTCTCTCTCTCTCTCTCTCTCTCTCTCTCTCTCTCTNCACACACACACACACACACACACACACACACACACACACACACACACACACACACACACACACACACACACACACACACACACACACACACACACACTCTCTCTCTCTCTCTCTCTCTCTCTCTCTCTCTCTCACACACACACACACACACACACACACACACACATATGCCATTGAATATCAAAGTGGCCAGTATTCAGCCAAATTCTGTGACTAAATAAAATCTCTTATTCTCTTCCTTCGTTTATGTACACAGTATGTTCTAGCTTTTATCTGTAACATTGTCCACATGGGACTCTGTTTTAACGTACTTTCTAATGCTATGCAGTATGGCTTTCTAATAAAAAGTCATCTTTCTCAAATCCTTCTCTTCGCTCTAGTCTACATGTGGAAAAATTGTCGATATGATCCCTTTAGGGTTGGAATTTAAAAAAATCCTTTCTTAGCGGCTATCCATGTCATTATAGGAATGCACAGTCAAAATTTCAGCCCTTTAGATCCACCTCTGTGCATTTTCTGTCAGTCGGTCATGGAACTGTTTTATATATATAGATATGTATATAACATGTTTTGTAATGGTTAATTTTGTATAGTAAAATTCAAAATTATATCATGAAGGATGGTATTCTCATATTTTAAATCTCTTGGTTAAGTAATAGTAAGTAATAAATAATAGTAAGTACATAATAATAAGTAAATAAGTAATGTATACTAACTAAGTTTGTTTAATCCTCCCACCCCAAATGGATCAAAATTTATTTATTTGAAATAAAACACATTAAAATTATGTTTGATAATTATTTTATTAACAGTATAGGACAAACCTTTAACCAAGCAAACTAACTTAGTATCCCTTGTGAAAATAAAATTTGATTAGTCCTATAATCCAATTATTTGCTTTATATATTAAAATGTTAAAATTGTATCCTTTCTCCTCAATTTTAGTTCTTATATTATTTTATCAGATTGTCGTTTTTTAATCTCGCTGAAGAGCATATCGTGCAGCTCTGGTTGTGATCTGCTTCTGTATTCCTGCTGAGCTAGATCAAGGGCAGTTTGTGCCTGTTTAGTCTGAAGGCTAACATCGCAGTTGTCTGCTTTCAGTAGTAACTAAAATTTTGCATTATTATCGACGAAATTATTTAATAGTAATAAAAATATACCTCAACAACAGTTTGAAATCCGCTTTCGACAGCTACATGGAGCGGAGTGAGGCCTTCAAAATTTTGAGCATTTACTTCGATATCTTTGCATGATGTTAAAAGGCACACTGCTTCAGAATAACCTCGTTCGGCAACAAGATGCAAAGCTGTGTTCCCTTTTAAATCTTTGACATTGATTGGGGCATGTCGAGATATCAAATATTTCAAGACGTCCCATCTCCTCTAAAAAATATGTATAACAGTTAAGAAATATTTGAAACTATATGTATATGTATTTATATAAAGAATAGTTTTAAATTAGTCTAATTTTCGATATTGTGTTAACATATTCAAAATGGTTAGGGATGGTTAGGGATGGTTAGGGATATTATTATTCAATTATATATTATTATATATAATATTATTATATATAATATTATTATATATAATATTATTATATATAATATTATTATATATAATATTTATATTATATATGATATTATTCAAAATTCAAAAGTTTGTAAAATTGTGCTACATTGTAGTAAGATCTTTAGTTGATGATCCTGTTTCTTTCTGTCTTGTGTTTAGGGTGTGTTTTATTTTGAAAGTTGTGTCCTCAAACATATAAAAAGGAAATAACTGACAAATGTGTGACAAAACTGATGAGAATAAGCTGAGTAAAGACAAAATGTGCATTATGCATATTAAAAGATATGGTTTTGCTTATTAAAGAACTGCTTTGTTGCTTATCTTGACCAACCAGATACATTTTCATAGCTGAAAGCAAATAGATAAGAGAAAAATAAGTATTTCTCTAGGGAAGATGCAAAGGAAGGCTTAAGAAAATGTATGAAAAGATCACTGCAGGTTCAAGTAAATATGTAGATTCTGCAGTTGAGGCTCTAGCAGACTGCTACAAACAGACTATCAGCATTCCTAAGCAGGAGAAATGTTCCAAGATCCACTACCATGGATAAAATATTACACAATAATTCTTAAATTATGACTACATAGTACTAAATATTTAATCAAGAAAAGATTTTATTTTAGTAAATAAATATTTTACCTTTCTAGCTACTACATGCAATGGTGTTTCTCCATAATTATTTGGCAATGAAAGATCAGAATTATCGGCCAAAAGCTTTATCATATCTAAATTGCCATCAGTTTCCAGAGCTTCATGGAGCGGTGTTTCCCCACGGTTGTTTTGTAATTTAGTACCACAGCAAAGAAGTATCTGAAACAGTTATTTAATTGAAAATAACCACAATTAATGAAAGTTTATAAAATTTACCTTAACACAGTCGACTTTGGCATGACCGTAAGCTGCTCTGTGAAGCGGAGTTCGTTTCCTGTTGTCTACAATATTAGGCAAGGAGGATTCAACTAGATTTTTCAAGCAATTCAAAGCTGCTTCCGAATAGTCATCATGTTTGATCATATGCCTGACAAGGTAATGTAGAGGAGTCTGGCCTTGCAAATTTTCTTGGATGTTCGGGTCACAGCCATGGGTCAGAAGCAATTCAAGGCTTTCATAAATATTCTTCTTTGATGAAATAGCCAAATGTAAAGCAGTCTCTCCATGTATAGTTCTCGCATTAACATCACAATTATGACTACACAAAAGCCTTCCAGGAGAAGAATAATCATAAAATACAATACAAAAACGGTCAAGCAGACAGCAAAAAAGAAATTCTCAAGTAAAATATTGAATAACACTTTATTTCATATTACACATCAGTTAATCAATATTTCATTCCCCTTCTTTTAAAAGGCAGCTTTAATATATAAATGATTAAACAGTAATGCAGCAGTTACATGTTTTAAAATATTGCTATCAACATTTTCTTTTAATATTACCTTATTATATCAACATGTCCATTTTCTACACTGAGCAAAATAGGCGGTTTTCCATCACCTTCCCAATGCGGCTGATTTATATCTACATTTTGTTCTATACAAGTCATCACATCATCATAATTACCATTTATAACTGCATTAAAAAGCTTGAATTGAGACATTTTAATAAAATCTGGTTCATGTTATGATTGCACAATCCAATGTTGGGTCATACTGACCATGGGTCCGTATAAATAATTTTTGGGAAAAGAAATGATTAAATAAGCATAAAACAAGCAGTTCGGATTTCATTAATTAATGATGATATATTAATTTTAAGAAGGGGAATTATTTTGTACTCTATTTTCATGAAACTTAAATTTATGTTAAATTATTCTACTAGAATTTTGATATTCGTTGAATAATATTTTAACTAAACAAAACATTTTTACAGAGAGAGTGAGAAATAGAAATCAAACCGTTTAAATTTTTGTAAATTTTATGCAAATCGGCAATAATTTTAATTTAATTAATGTCCCAACTTCCCTTTTATCCTGCCTAATCATGAATAAATGTATTAATTGAAAACTAAACACATTATCATACAATTCCAGTCGTCATTCCCCCTTCTTTAGAAACTATTGTGACTTCTATTATTTCATTTTAAGTTTTCAGGATAATTATCCCGTTACACTATGGCTTTAAGAGATATCCCTTGGTCTGAAGTTAAAAAGCATGATGGTAAAAATGGAAGCTACTGGGTGGTGATACATGGAATGGTACATGATGTGACCAATTTTTTAGAACAGGTATAATTCAGACTTTCTTTTTCATTTAAATATTTATTTTTCTCATAATATAATTATATTATTTCAATATAATATATTTAATTATATTTTATGAAATATTTGTATATTTGTACTAGGTAATGTACACTTCTAACATATATTACTGTGTGTTAATTTTATTTGCCTTTTGGTATCAAAAAACCAACATTTTTCCTTTCGAAAAACTTCATGTCAACATAATAACAGAAAAACTTTAGGATTGACCAATTAGTTATACTATTTATTTATTTTCTTTTTTTTATTTTGTCTTGTGAAATATGTTACAGTTCGTAATTTTTCAGTGACCTCGCCGATTTGTATAAAACCTAAGAAAATTTCTAATTATTGTTTTCCAGTGATTAGTTGCAGTTTTTCTCTTTCTTTTAGATGATAATAGCCCTGAAGTCATTTCAAATAAAATTATTAATAAGCTAAACCCAAAATAACATTTAATTTTATATTATACTGCTTTAAACTGTTAATAATTATGGCAAATTTTTCTTTCTTGGTCAATATAATCAATATAATCTTCATCAAAAAAATAAAACATCCACATAAAACACAAACAAAAAATTAAATTGGTTGTTACATTTTTGAAGACCTTATTGGCAGGAAAATAAATTTATTTTATTTTTTCAGCACCCAGGTGGTGAAGAAATTTTGATGGAGCTAGCCGGAAAAAATGGTACAGAATGTTTTGATGACATTGGTCATTCGGATGTAGCGAAAAACCTTGCTTCAGTTTTCCGAATAGGAAAAGTTGTTGAGGTGATTATTTTATTTATTTTTTAAAATTTATTTATTTAGTAAAAATCAGACTGTGTATCAATTGACATGAAGTGTTGTAATAAGGTATTGTTTATTCTAAGGATTTTTATACATTTACTTTAGTTCATAATTATTATTTTGTAGAAAGGATATATCTGGAAAGTATACTTTTGCATTAGGGAGTTCCAACTCATATTTCTGAGTGGTTCTGGGTTCAAATCCCGGCAAACCCCTTGGGATTTTAATTATTTGTTTCATCCCTCGTCCCCAACACCCAACCAGTCTGACGTTATGTTTGTATCATGCAGTATAACCAACTTTGTCATCAACCAGCTAATCATAGGCTATTATTAAATCTCTACAAACTAATCAAAATGCTCAAACTATTTTCACAAACATTTGAAAAATGGCTCCATACCAAGGCAGATTTTAATTCAGCTCAGATATTCCACAAACAGTATACCATTAAACAACTATTTTACAAGAAGACCTTTTGAAAGAGTATTTCCTTTGGCTTATTAATCTGTAATAGAATATTATATCTGAACGATACACTAAAAAATTCTCATTGTTGAATGGAAATAATCATAATATATTCAATTATCTCAATTTACAACTAATTTTCTATTTTCATAATTAATAAACAAGAATCGGTCATTACTTGAAAGACAATTGTACTAAATAATTAATTTCAACAGGGTTTAAATAAATTAAAATTTTGCACAATATAAAATCAACCCAAGCTTTGTACGCCTCGAATCATATATTAACTGTCTTGATTTTTCCTTTCATGTTTTTAGATGGTCATGGGTTCAAATCCTACTCATGACACTAGCTTTTTCATCTCAACCAAGACCTTAGATTAAAAAAAGTATAATTAATTATATTTTATATTGATTTTAACATTTTTCAGTTGTTAATATGAATCTAGACAGTTTAAATGTAATAATTACACCCCGATTATACCTAAAAAGCACACTACTTGGTTATTTTAATAATAAACATACACAATTTTAGCAACTGTACTCACAGATTTTTGCAAACATTGTGCAAATCACTGCAAATAAATATATTTATAATCTTTTATAGATATTAATTTTTTATATGCTAATACTGATAAGCTTATGGAGCAAGACGTCTTAAGTTTCAAGGTGTTTGTGCTTTGTCTTGAAGTTATGAACTATAGGAAAAGTGTAATATTATAACGATTTGAAGATTTTTCAGTTAAATTGGGGCGGGATAGATTTAATTATAGGCCAATCTTGGCCTTCTATTTGATAAAATATGAGAAGGGGGAATTGAGGGCGTTTCAAAAAAACGCTATGTCATCTTTGAACTCTTCACTTTATTTTCTTTTTGCTTTTTTTTAGTTTTTGTCAATAAGCCTTTCAGCCTACTCTTTGACCCTGGAATTTATTTGAATATTGAGTATTTAAACAGGATTTTTTAAGATTTTTTTTTAGTTTTTTGGCTTGTTTAGGTTTTTGCCAGTATCTGAAGAAATATATTGGATCGTCTAGGGGTATATTTCTGCGAGGATGCCCACCAAATAGAGAGATTCGTTGGTAGCACTGTCCACTATCTCGGTCTGTCTTGATTGGTCGTTCTTGCCAATTTCTCAATTCTCATTACACTTGTTGGTCCCCTAATCGTCGTCCTTGGTGATCGTCGTGCCGATCTTTTATTCTCTTAAGAGAAAAAAAATCCCGTTGGACTTCGAATTACCTTAAGTTTTGTTTTAATTTACCTAAAGTCCGAACCGGTTGAGGCAAGATGTCGAAATTATTCCGATTGGATGAGGTGAAAAAGAGCAAAGAGGGCAAAACCAACTTGATTGTCATACACAACAACGTTTACGACGTTACCGACTTCCTCAACGAAGTAACTATAAAATATATTTATCTATTACAGCTTTAAAGTATAATACATGCCAAATTAGTGTTTAACATTAGTAAGATAAACTTTTTGCAATTCGGCAAATTGGGCTATTGGACTTAAAATTTAGACATGCTCAGACAAAAAAATGTTATCTTTTACATTTAAATTATCTGTTAGAAGTGTGCACTCCATTTTCTTTCTTGCTTTTTCGGTCTAATTGCCTAAAATCAAAGAGAAAAAAAGAAACCTTTATCTAGAATTCAATAATTACTTCTAAGATTCTTATGTAATGAACAGCAAGTCAATGCTGATTTGCTTTGTCACTGATTCTGCCCCAACATGAGTCGGCATTTTTTTTTTCAAAAGATATTTTCAAATTTACAATTTTGCATTTGTTTTTTGTTTTTTCAATAATTAACATTTTTTAAATTATATTTAACAAATTTTTGAAGAATGGTGGCAAATTGGGTATGATATTTTTTTTAAATATATAATCCAAAAACGAATAATGTTTAATGTGAATTATATGGTTAATATTTTTTTTTCAGCACCCTGGCGGTGAAGAGGTCCTCCTAGAACAGTCCGGCAACGATGCTACCGAGGCTTTCGAAGACGTCGGCCATTCAACAGATGCCAGAGAGATGATGAACAAATTCAAAGTTGGTGAACTTGTAGAGGTAATTTATTTTTTTTATGTTTACGATTGGCAAATAAAAATTCTTATTGATTTGAAACTCCCTTTAAGTTAGTAAATATACATAATTAATTTATACAAAAACACTACAATTCAATAATAGCATATGTAATTCATATTTTATTCTCATTTTTAACATAATGTAAACTAATTATGGTCTCTGTGAGCATTAAAATCGCTAATTTTTGAATTCTCAAAATGTATTTATGACTATGCGAAAATTAGTAAACAGCAAATATAATACATCTTAAAACAGCATGGGTTGGTAGGCCGGTGCATCCTTGCTGATTGGGGACCTCAGGGCGGTATGCCCAGGACCCCCGTAGGATGTGGACTTCTCCATAGGTGTATATTGCAAATGGTTTTTATCCACATCCTCCAAAAGGGATTCAGTCACATAAATGTACATTGCTTGTCAGGGCTGCACTCACCTCTTCGAGTTGGGTTAATAAAGGCAGTGATGGTCTTTGTTGGTTTTTTGCTTATAATTTTAAAAAAATCTATTTTTAAAATGATTAATTAATGCATTTTTGGCCATGATCAAAATCTACTGCTTTTTACCCTTTATTAATCATATCTATTTATTAAATCTATGCAGTCTTCAGTAATGCTGTAATTTAGTCATTTCTAAGTTAAATAAAGCTAAGAAAATTTATTTACTCTCTTTTCACACAATTTTGTGTGAAATATCACTCTAGTTTGTTTGATGATGGTTAACCCATCAGTACCACCTGTTGTATGGGTGTGTTAAGATCCACCCATTACAATAAACCCCAATTTCAATTGTGTCGATTATAGAGGGGGAGTTTGTACTGGTCAAAAAATATTGTTTGTTGTACACAATTCATACTATTTTATATTTTTCATAGAATCACATTTAGATAATCGATACAAAAAAAAAATCAACCGAATCTCTTTTTTAAACTTACATAAAGACGTGTTGTTTAGCGACTGTTGGTTTAATAAGATGTTGAAGTAGTGGGGAGCAGTCAGGATAGATGTATTATACAAGAAAAATGTGAAAGATTATGTTAGTATAAAGTTTAATCAAGGTATTCATATGTTTTTACATTAACACACGTGCACGCACATGCACACACATACAGAGAGAGAGAGAGAGAGAGAGAGAGAGAGAGAGAGAGAGAGAGAGAGAGAGAATTAATTACAGAACAGACACCTGCAAACTCAGCCATAGCTTCACCAACATCTTAAAACAAATATATTTTTTTGGTTCTTTTTGTTATTGTACATAATAATTAACCTCCTTTCTAATACAATAAACCAAATTAAAATAAAACAAATTTTTATTAATAATAAAAATTAAAAGCACTACTATTTATGTGAGTATGAATACTTTGATTAACTAAAAGTCATCTTTACATTAACATAATCATTTTTTTCACAAATTTAACTATAATCATGTTTGTAATTTACCAAATTCTTGAAGATAACCTGAATAACTATAATAAAGTCAGCAATTAAATAAAAAACCATTTGGTTAAAGATATTTCACGCTTGTGATGCATTATATTTATTCATCCATCATGACAAATCTTGTTGCATCTTTTTTATCTTTATAAAACTCAAACAGCTGGAATAGCTCTTTTAATTTGACAATTTTGCGTAAGTTGACTCAAGTGGGGTAACAGAAAATACAGTTGACAATACCTCTGAAGGAGGACCAGACCAGAGAGCTAGGGGAGAAGTAAAAAACTTGGTAAAAAAAAAAAATTAAAAAAAATAGAAAAGAGGAAGGAAAGTAAACCTAGCTTTTCTAAAACGTTTTGCAAAACGTTAACAATTTATTTCTTTATATGGACATGAATTGTACATGCCAGTTTTTGAAAAGTAAATTAGGCTGATGGGATATGGGGTACTTTCCATAACAGTCGTAGACATTGCGATCATACCCCATTTTAGAGGGGTTTTAAAAAAGTGGAAATTCTATCGTTTTGCCAAGGCTTTGCAGACATTGCCCATCAGAAGAAGTGTCCTCTGTTATGTTTGATGTTATTACCATTAGAGTATTGAGGATGTTGGGTTGAAATCCAAGTATTGTCACCAATTGTATATGGGATATTGGGTTGAGATCCCATCAATTAATTGTATTGGATATACAAAACCCCCACCTTTTTGCATAAACTGTAAGGTTATGTTGTGATCCCACAAATTGAATGAGGGACGTTGAGTTTAAATCCCACTACTGTCACCAGTTAATAATTAATAGTTAGTCAGTCAATATCAGGCCCATTGGGAATTATAGGCTTCATATTGAATTTTTACTTTTTTTCCATCCTTTTCATTTAGTTTCCCAAGCTTAACATTTTTTAGATTTATCCTTTCAATTTTGTAATTGAGTAACTAGAACATTGCCCTCTAATGTGTGTTGTTTAGTGACTATTAGTTAATGATTATTTGAAGATTGTAAGATGCGGTCTGGTGTGATGTAAGTTTTAGAAAATGTTTTTCTAAAACCTACATCACACCAGACCTCATCTCACAATCTTCAAATAATCATTAACCTCTGTTTTTTCCATTTATAATAAACAATGATTGTGCAATGTTAAATATTAGAATGCATAGAAATCTTCATAAATTCATCATATAGAGAGATAAGATACAGTGTATAATACTATACATTACAATATTAATTAATTTTAATTAATTAAATATTAATATATGTATATGTCAGATAAAATAAACTATATTTGTATTTAACAGGAGGACAAGGTTAAGACTGAGAAGAAATTTCCAAATTGGAGTTCAGATGTCTCACCATCTGCAAACAATAGGTATGTTTTGTGTAATTATGACAAAATATAACAAAAAAATTATGTATGTTGTTTGCATGTTTGTATTTCAGTTTGACCCATTATTTAAATATTGTTATATTATTTTATTAAAATAAAATTATAGTTAATTAAAAGACTCCTCTCAAACATCCTAATTTTTTTTTTTTTTTTTTTTTTTTTTTTTCAGCTCATGGAAGGCCTGGCTAGTCCCTATTGTGTTTGGAATTGTAGCCACAGTGATATACAGATTCTTTCTGGTTAAACAATAGAGCCTTCAACAAGTACGATATATAATTAAAACATTATTGTGGAAACCTTCACGTATCCTACCTTGAACATCTTTAAGGTTTCTTTGAAACAGTTTTATAAAAATCAGAATTTTTTAACTTTGACACTTGTTGCTGTTACCTTTAAAAATTATATTTTATTTTATCTGTACGCGTTTCTCTATTTTTAACCATTTTTGTCTTAATTTCATATGAATATTTTTCATTGATACTTTGTTATAACTTTAAAATTATTCATTCCATTAAAGAAAAAGAATACAATTGATTTTCTTCTAAATGGGGCCATTGATATTAGTAGTGTTGTTAATAGTAAAAGAATTCCTTTAATTTTAAGTAATGTATTGACAAGTGCTGTAGTGTTTTTAATTTGAAATAATTTTTCTTCTATTTTAACTTTTAATAAATTTGTGGCAGAGGTATTGTATTTTATGACAACTCAACTTGACTCCCGACTGTTTGTCATTCCAAATTGATTTACCCTTGACTCCATTTGGCCATCCTAACATTCTTTCAATACCCCTATTAAATATTCATCATCTGTATAGGCATACATTACATTGTGCTAGTAAAATTTGTACTTTTGCCAATGTTCACCATTTGGCCTTGCTTTGTTCTTTTCACATCTAATTATATTTTCAGAACATTCATACTTCAATTATTTAGTATATCGAGAAACTAAATTACTTTATATGACACAGTTTATTTTCATCCCATACTTGTTTAATTTCTATTCAGTCTTAAGCCATTTGACAAGCATCAGTCATTTATTTCATTCCTTTAATTCAATCATCGATAGACGTGTTTGGATCCCCTCCATCCTGATGATGAATGTTTTTAATTCCATTAGATTTCGTGGTCCAATTGACCAAATAAATTCTTTTCAATTAATTAATCTTTAAGTAAGATATTGGTTGAAATAAAATAAAAAATTGGATTGAAGTGGGAAGTTGGTGTCCGAGTGGATCGAAGTTTAAGCTCAAATGGTAGAGCAGTGGCGTATTTAGCCGAAGGTCATGGGTTCGAATCCCGCTCGTGACACTGACTTTTTTATCTCAACTAATACCTTACTTAAAGATTAATTAATTGAATGTTTTTAATGCTTGAAATTGGATTGTTGTAAACAACAAATCTGTTAGAAGAACTACCATTTACAAAAATTGAATCTATTTACTCACCCCACGTTCATTATTTCTTCCAAGACATGTATTGACCTGTGTTTTTCACTTGTTGGCGATGTAGCAGCTCCTTACAAATTGTCCTCATTTCTGGCAATCTGGAGGACCCACAGGAAAGTGACTTTTTTCTATTTCTGCTAAACATTTGTTTTGCCCGTCTTTTATTGTCTGCTTAAATGAAAAACTAGATTCCCACAGTATTTAAAAGATATCGCATAACCCTAATAGCTAGTCATGTGGAGTACATTTTATAAAAATTGTTATAGCAATATAAACATTTAAAACAACTTTCAGTTTTTGAAGGTTTAATAAAGAGGATAGGATAATTTTTCTTTCCTATTTTCTTCTTTGTTCATTACAACAAATTCATAAACTAAACAATGTCTGCTGCTTGTAAAATGCCTGAAAACTGAATAGATATTAAACAATTTGTGAGACAAAAATAAACTCATGTAAAGTAATATACTATTAATACATATAGTGATTATTTACCCTTTTATCCAGCGATATTGGGATGTAATTCCAATGTAAGTTGTTGGACAATTTGTACAACTGATTTTGTAAATTACATCAGTCTTATTTGTTATAGGTGTGGGATCTTTAATTTTGTTAAAAAGGGTGCGAAAAGTTTTAAAGTTTTTGAAGGCTTTTTTCTTCTAAAAAGGTTCTTTCTTATAAAATAGCCTTCAAAAACTATTCACACCCTTTTTCTCCAAAATTAAAGATCCCAGACACAAATAAGTCTGATGTAATTTACAAAATCAATTCTATAAATTGTCCGGCAACTTACATCCCAATATCTGGATAGAACAGTAAAACAACATATCTATGATTGCAAAAAAAATCCTACAGCACTGGCTACTCACCATGTTGAACACCAAAACAATTTCAATTTCAACAATCCAAAAATATTAAACAGAACTAAACAAACATAAACGTAACTTTTTAGAAATGGCTTACATCAACAGAGATAAACCCAGCGTCAAATACCAAACAGACACGTCAATTCAGCCACAGCTTTGCTAATATCATAAATCAAATTCTGTATCAATAACATACATATAACACACAAAACATATAATGCAACAATCATTACCCTCCACACATCAAAAAATTGTACATATCTAAATCCCCAACAACTTACCTCTCCTTTCCTCAATAATCCCATCCATAATAAAACTGAAAGGCTAACTAGGCCCGAACAACAAACTATTACCCCTATTTTTCCATTGTCGGTCTCTTTCGCCTCAAAGAAGCCAACTTCCCATAGAAAAATGAATTTCTTTCCTTACTTCATTCAAACATATATAAACAAAAAAATATTAATACCTCATTAACACTCTCAACACAATACACAACCGAGACACATCTACATAGAAACACACACCGAGTGAGTACAAATACTTTGATTAAACATAAACCGCTAGACCACATCCCACGATCTCTAAATAATTGTTAATTAACAGTCACTAAATATTACACAAATATACGTAATATTTAAATATTACTGAAGAACAATGATTTTAAAAAATTTACTTTACTCAAAGTCCATGTTTTATGATCAAACAAAAGTTGGGAATAACACTAGTACCAGAGTTGGTTTTTAAAATCTCTATTAAGTTATAAAGGCATCTATATTTATAGCAATTTTATAAAATACAGGTACAGTATTGTACATATAAATTTTATGTATAAAAATATATTATTAAAAATTGTATTTGTTTATATTTTTAAGGCCTAGGTTTCACAAAGTTGTAGGAATTTTAGTTTGCTCTTGAACCCTCCTTAATAAGTTTGTCATATTCCTCACACATCACTCCGTACGTAAGATCAATGAGAGACTGCACATTTTCTTTCTTAAGCCCCCTCGTTTCTATAGGTGGAAGTATGCTGATCACTGCAGATCCTAGAAGGAAAAAGAAAATTCTATAGCCAAGCAATTTTAAACTAGATTTTTTCTTGTGTTTTTCTACCTTTGTTAAATGTCATTGTTGCATTATCTAAGAAATTGTAACGTGTGACAACAATTGGCTGGATAGGAGCTTCACAGTCAATTGCAATATGGAAAGCGCCTTTCTTGAAAGGAAGTAACGACTCTCCTCTATGTCGTGTTCCTTCAGGAAACATACATATTTTTGCCTGAAATGGTAATTATTTTAAAATAAAATTTTTACAGTTACTGCGTATGTGTATATTATGATTTATTAGTAATATCTTTACAAACAGCATGCATTGATGTTGTAACATGTATAATGATTTTTTTTTTAATATAAAGATTTGTTTGATTGTATGTCTGTCTTTTAGCACCTTTCTAGTCTTAATGGTTGCCCCAGCTTTGTTAATTGTCTCTTGGGCGTGCTTCCCGCTGAATTTATTAATGAAGACTGTGCCCCACAACCAGCAGGCAAGGCCGAAAGGCCACAGATAAAAGATCTCCCTCTTTGATATGACTGTGCAGCGGTTCAGCACCGGCCATATCTCCGCGAGTACCAAAAGGTCCAAGCAGCTCTGGTGGTTTATGAGCACAATCGAACCAACATCTTGAACGATGTTTTTGTGACCTCGTATCTCGAAATTCAGACCGAGGATCTTTGATATCTGCCTCGCACCCCATGCAGGCATTCTGAAAATTTTAAGCAACATTTTTTATTATTAAATCACAAATGGTAAACTTATAATAATATTTTGTAGTTTTTTTTACTTACAGAGCGTTTCTATAATCGCCTGGTCGCAGCAGCATTACTGGTATAAATATCGTAGCCGATATAAGACTAAGTAATATAAAAATTGCAAATTTTGTATAATAACGAAATATTCTACTATTGTTGTAGCATATTGCACCAAGGACTAATATGATTCCTGCTACCAGTCCATCAGCCATCTCGGTGTTAGTGATTTCTGTCTGGAAAAAATGTGTTTTAGTATAAAAAGTTTGTAAATTGTTCATTAATTTTAATTAATAATTTCTAATTTTAAATAACAGTTGGGAATTTACTTCCATTCTACACCTCTAATAAATATATTCATTCTATTTTTAAACTTAAGCCAAAAAATTACTAAACAGAAATTCGCAAATCTTGCATGATGTGGCCGTGCATGGTGTCCTACTCATATTTGCCGAGCTATCATTTCTGGGTTCAAATCCCAGTAGAGCCCATGAAATTTTAATTGATAATGGTATGAAAAATGTAAAACATCTGTCCCCTCGCCTGCCATACCTGATGGGAAGTTTTATACCCTCCGTATGACAGGAATAATATAAAAAAAACTAAACTATTTCCTTTTAAGCTGATTGTACATTAAAATATAATCAAAACAAGAAAAGAACTGATATTATATGATTTAATTATTCATTGTATGGTTATTATTTTTTATAGCAAAAGCATGGGAAAATACATTTATGTTACATTGAATGAGGTACCAAAAAGTGGCAAGAAAATTGGATAACATATAATATTATATTAGCACAGCACGGAATGACTGATCCAAGATAAGAATGATACAGCATGCCTGCATATGCTTGAAGAATATTAGATGAGGCGTAAACCATTAAGGTATAATGTGCTGAGGGGTAAAATGACCCATAAAAACAAAAAAAAGTCGAGAAGTGCAGTTCTTTTTGGCAACAATTCTGGCAGTGAGACATTTAAATATAACAGTATATACTTTTCATAGAATTCTCTGAGCATCTTTACAAAAGTGATTGTACACACCCATCTTTACTAATTCTATTAACTGTTATTAATGTATATGGTATTTATTTTATATAGACAATCCTAGATTGCCCCCTCCCAGACAAGAAGGTGTCAAATCAGAAAATATTACCAGTAAAATATATTAGAATACATTGAATAAGTAGATGATCCCATTGCTGTGTTGAAATGCAGAATAGGAGGCATAAATGCTGAAAATATGATGCAGTTTCCTGGTGATGCCTTAGGCTCTTTACTGACCAATAACAATTTTTACAATTTTCTTATACCTGAAATTTTGTTGAAAAGTATTTTTAAGTCGTATAATCAGGGGACTGTGGTGGTCGAGTGGGTTTTTGTTTTTGCCATGGGTTCGAATCCCCCTCGTGACACTAACTTTTTCATCTCAACCAAGACCATAGATAAAAGAGAATAATTAATAAGAAATTAATTGAATTAAATTAATTAAGAAATTAAATATTTGTTAAAAGTATTTTTTGGCCTGAAAACTATAACACATTATTCCATTCTATTATTTCAAACATTTTAAAGAAAACAATATTAGACAGAAGGATGTATGCTTCTTTATTTCAAAACATTTTTTTAGTATAATGTAAAACTAAGTTTACTATAAAGATTGTTTAGTAATTTATTGTAAACATCACCTTTGTACTTGGCGAACTTGAAATTCGAGATAGATCCGAACTAATGTCAATCAATATCCAACCTAGTGAGAAATTTATCCCTCTACTTAAACTCAAAATATTTTTATTTTCATTACTCGCCTAGCTGATATGGCCCTGATTTGTAAACAATACTGAGAAATCTTTTAAAACGAGATTGTATTTAAAGCAGAAAAAATTCAGATAAAGTTTTAACTTAATCAGGATTTTTATACTTCCTGGACAAACTACACTAGAGGGGGGGAGTAAATTCTTACATGAATTAACTTAATAACTTGAGTTACTTACTTGACCGTTCAAGTTCCTTCCGATGGTTTAAACTGGAGGATATTGTATCCCTACCTTACCTTCTTAACTATTTATTTCAGATAAGATATGACAATTTTTCGGCATTTATCAGAGAAAGAAAAGATTCATAACGGAATTAAATTTCATACAGTACAATACAACTTTCACAAGAATTTTTTATCTTCTTAACTATTTATAGCAGATAAGATATTGCTAGGCAATTCATTTCATGGTACTGAAAAAGGGTCGATTTCAAACTGTTAATTTTATTATAGTACTTTTATTGCAAAAGCTTCTTGTTTCAATTTGATAAAAATGATTTATGTTAAAATGAAAAATTCATTTAAAAACTGAGTTTTTTATTTATGAGATAAAACTAAAAATTGTTAGTTTTAGATTTGATAAAACAATTTTAAAACATTTATTTTGCCTTTCCTTCTTTTAATTTCATAATTTGCCTGGCAAAAATATAATTATAATATTTAAATACCTGTAAAATTTAATTATTAAAACCCTCAATGTACAGAATACTTACAGTTTTATTTATGGAGAATTTAAGCCCCTAGACCCTAGTGAATGTTCAGGTAGAGTGGGAAAAGTCCCTCTGACCAGGTATATAAAGGCAGACTCATTATCAATTTATATCTGTCACTTTTTTGAATTTTGAAAGTATTTCTAAAAATAACTTTCAAAAGAACATTTAAAGTACAAAAGTGAGCAATTCTAATACATAATTTTTATAGGGACAAATAAAAACATACACTAAGCAGAAACAATAAATATTTTAATAATGTATGATTATCATTTTACTCTAAGATTAAAAAAAAATTGAACACATAAAACCTATATGTAAATGTGAACTCTAAAAAACGATAATGAAAATCTATGACATTTACCAAAATCTAAAATTAATTTGTTAATATACATAACATTTTTAGTCAAAATACCTTAAAAAAGAGTTCAAATATTTATTTGAACAGCAAGCTACAACAGTTTTGAATAATGCTCTCAGATTGTACGTAAAATGTTTTTTTTTTTTTTTAATTTATATAATAATTTGATATTTAGATTCTTTTGTGATAATTCAACAATCTAAATTGAATAGTTTTAATTATAACTTTTTGTAAATAATACCTTTGTTGTTTATCTTTTTCACAGGAGATTAAACATGTCAAATTCAATTGAAACTATTGAAAGCTTTGTCCCACAGTCCTGACCGATGTGCATTGAGTTAGCAACTAAACTGCTGCACTGTCACGAGACCAGTTAATGAAATGACTGACCTTTTTAATGTCTTATCAGCGTTTCAAGTGCTAGGTCAAAGGTCTGATTTGAACCGCTAAGCAATCAATCCCCCCCTTATTCTATTCATGGCATCTATCCTTTATTTCATTTTTAATTTTTGACCTGAGTCAACATAAAACATTTTGCAAAAATAAAAATATTACGTTAAAAACATTCTAAAAATTGTTCTATTCAAACAACACTTCATTGTACAATAAGATGACAGTGCAGAAATTTCTAAATCTCACTTTTTTTCCTTTCGTATGGTTCCGTCTGTGAAGAACAATCAATGAAATTGCGTAGTAGTATTGAAGTAAGTACCAGTTCACAACTGCTAAAACAAGTCGCAAAGCCCCTTGCATAATGACCTCATACATGACTGGGTTTTATAACGACAGATTACAAAAGTCACGATTTGATGGAGAACATTTTATAAATAAACCTTGATCTATTTAACTTACACTATTTGTTAAATATTGCAGATGTTTCTTTATAAAACAACACATATTATACATTTAAAATATTAAATCCCTTTGTCGCAATTATTTAGTTAAATATTTTTAATCCAAGATTAACTTTTCTATCCTTAGGTATTAATATTCTAAAATTTCCAATTTTTTAATTTATTTTTTATAATTGAGTAATTTTCAACTGGAAATCATAAATGTGATAATGAACTATTAGTGACAATTCAAACATTTAAAATTACAATTAGTTGTTTTGGCTTCAGTTTTGAGAAATATTTTTGTATTACTTAAAAAAATAAAACAGCCTGAGACATTAAAAAACTCTATATAATAAATAATATATAGCACATACTTCAGTCACAACCAAAAATTAAACAATGTAAAACAATTGACATATTATTCTATCATTCATTCTCACAGGTAATGAAATTTGTTATTTCATATTCAAAAATATATTTTTATTTATGTGTAAGTACCTCTACTCAGTGTGTGTATGATTTTGCTTGTTTATGTGTGTTATGTATAGATGTATACTCTTATAATGACAGATATTCCCAAATATTGGATTAATATTATAATGTATTCACACATAATGTACCTTTTTTATATTGACATATATTATATATGTATTGGAATTTACGAGTTTAATTGTATAAATGTTTAAATTTTTCTATAGATGCAAAACTTTTTAAAATTAAAGCACAACAATATTGTGTCCATTTATTTTTTCCTTTTTTTTCCAAGGCTTAATCAAATATCTATTGACTCATTGTTGAATTATTTCATAGTCAATTGAACAAAGGATGTTATTATATTATTATCTTATTATTATTGTCTTTTTTTCTTTGTTTGTACATCGCTAGAGAATATTTTCAGAAATTTTACTCTTATAATTTTGTTTTTCATATGATTAATACAATTGCTACATCTCAGTAAAATTGATCAATAATTAAACCGTTTTCTTTTGTTATTAAATACTTTTTGAGTGCTTTTAAAGATAGCTCAAGAGGAGTCAACAAGTGTGTCAAGTTCAATGTCTAACCAATTATTTGTTTTGACAAATATTAAATTAATGTAAAAATATATATAATTACAGATTAACTGCATCATGTTAGAAAAAAAAATTTCCAAATCCTTCTATACAATAAAGCAAAATCTATTTGTTTTTGTATTGAATCTACGTTTTTAATGAAAAATAAAAATAAATGTTTTAGAAAAAAGAATATCTATCACAATTATCAATTATACCCTTAACCTTTAGTACTGAAGATGATAAATAACAAAAACAATAAATTACGACATACCTAACACAAATTCCCTTTTACACATGTAAACAATGAAAATAAATATATTTGCCTGAATGACATACCAGAATAATGATTTCTCGAGTTTTTACGAAGTGAATTGCTCATCCAATGTTTACCCTTTCATGTTTATATATAGAATCAAATGAATTATTAAAATGCTACAAAAAATTGGATAAGGGAGAGGGTGAGAAAATGTAATTATCAAGTGGGAGCATTGAGGAGGGAAGATCTATACATAGTTTAATATAATTGTCGACCTTCAAGATGATTTAAAGTATTTTAAATGTTTATAAACTTAAAATCAACCCATTGGCCAATAAATTTCAAATTTTAATGTATTTTTTTGAAATTATTTAGTTTCAAGATGTTTGGATGTACAGTAATCCAAACTAATTGCTGCAGGGGAGAATTCAAATTACACAGGGTGTTAAAAAAATGCATATGCACAAAAAATAATCAACAACACTTTTATTATTATTGCATAGAAAAAACGTTAAACGTATTAGAATACATATATACTGTCAATTTTTCTTTAAAAAATTCTGTGTTTTTGTTTTTTAATTTATTTAACTTTTTTTCATTGCTTCTCATTTAGGCTGATAACTCATTTTTTAGTAGTGAAGTTCACTGAACAAAAGAAATTATTGAAAATTTGTATAATCTAAGCTGGTCTTTTGTAGGCCCCTCTCACTCTCTTTTCTTACCCATTCACTCTCTTTTTCTTCGGTATTATCTAGTTTGTATAATTTTTTATTATAATATGCTAATATTATCATAAAATTCACCATTATTTGACTGTTCAAAACATACTTCTACAATAAAACAGCTAACTTTTATATAAAATTATAAATAGCGATAGCATCAGAATATTAATGTTAAAGTATTAATGTTAAACATTATCTATAAGTTCTTATTAAGCTTATCAACATTCAGTCTTCTTCTTTTTTTTAAATGTTACTCAAAAGTTTATTATACACTTAAATCACAATTTAAAGTATTATCTTATATTTGACACATAATTTTTATGTATATTTAATTTTTTATTACATTAGATGTTTTTATTAACTTCACCAAATGTTAACTACATAAGTAAATTTGCAATAAGATTAAGTATTGTAGTGTATACATATTTCATATTATTTATTTATTTTAAAGGTACAAATATGGCTTTATGTTTACATATTTTAGAAATAAATTTAGTTTTATAAAAATAATAATATAAATTGATTATGAATAATAAAGACGATAATATATTCCTTAAAATATTAATTATCTATAATCTGATGGAACCACATTACAATAGAAAAACAGAAAGAGAAAAAAATGTGAAAGGAAATGGGAAAAAAAGAAAAGGAAGAGGAAGGAAAGGAAACGATTCATGTTGTTTTTAAAAACTCAGATGCCATGAAACTGTGAAACAAGCCAGTGAGAAAGCAGAACGTACTTCCCATAGAAGAAAATTCCATAGTCTTGACCCTGTAACTCTGAAGGGTAAGGCTAAAGTTTTAGAGGGGGCTGGGATTGTTGTTTGGATATGGATATGGGAAAAAATTATAACTACACGTTAAGCATGAGGCCTAATTTTGCTGTATTTCTATAAATAAATCGTTCATTCACTCTCACTCTCTCTCACTCTCACTCTCACTCTCTCTCTCTCTCTCTCTCTCTCTCTCTCTCACACACACTCTCTCTCTCTCTCTCTCTCTCGCTCTCTCTCTCACACTCTCTCTCTCTCTCTCTCTCTCTCTCCCTCCCTCTCTCTCTCTCTCTCTCTCTCTCTCTCCTCCAGTCTGAAAATTTAAAAAAATAGTAAATATAATCTTTGATGATACTCTCTCTCTCTCTCTCTCTCTCTCTCTCCTCCAGTCTGAAAATTTAAAAAAATAGTAAATATAATCTTTGATGATAATTTAAAAAATATATAACTGTAATTAAACAGAAATAATTAATAACCTCCAGAACTATTTGTGGAAAGCTTAGTTGATTTTCTTAACTTATAATAAGTTTCATTTTTTCGGTGATTTTAGCCTATAATATACCTAAATTTAATTTTTTTTAAAGTAAACGAAACCAAAAAATAAATTTATAAAATTTTTATCAAGTTATGAATTTATAAAGTTTTATCAAGATATGAAATCTAAGTATTTACTCAACTGCAGCAATCATATATTTGAAATTCTTAAAACTATCATCCTTCGTCGATCAAATTGGATTAGATTATCCAGATTAAAAATTAATACAATAAAATAAATAGTTCTATTATTTTAAAAGACAAGTGAACTGTGGGATTTCTTCGTGCAATCTGTTAGGTGATGAACCTGATTGGTCATTCCTGATCATTTTGGTCTGCCTATCCGCACTTATTACATTGATATTAAAATCATGAGCCAGGTTGTTTTTGTTCAACCTAAAACCGTACACACATTTGAAAGGCACATAAAAAAGAAATTCATCATTTTACCACATTTTAGCATAATTTCCATGAATTTCATTTGTACCTTTACCTTTGTGAAATTTCACATTTATTCCCAGGTACTGGTACTAACTTTCCAACTAATAATTGCCATGGCAGCAGTTCTAGGTTCAAATACTTAGTCCATGGCTTTTTAATTGGGAATAATATGAAAGAAGTATTGTAAAGTAGTTTGGCCCCTCATCAATGACACCCAACAGGTAGTAAGCCCTCGTGTATGAGAGGAATTACTTTATTGTACTTTTATTACGTACATAAATAAAGGAATTTCTTTATTAACTACCTTATTACGACTATAGTTTAATCTTTCCCCATCATCCTGTGTTCTCTCATTGGCTGCGATCATGCACAATCTTTGATATTTGCAATATATACAAGCTATTGAAGCGGATTTTATAACTTTTATGAAATTTTATAAAAACTTTTTTTCTTGCTTTGATTCTTGAAAAATAAATTTTTAATCGTGGCAGTATTTCATATTCACTGACAGATACTATTATAAAGTAGATACTATTATAAAGTAGATACTATTATAAAGTATCTTGCTTGATCTTTCTGGATCAACTTGTGTATTTTTGTATTCTTAAAATTTCTCGCAATCATTTTTCTATCTTTAATTATTGTAGTGTTGATTAAGAATACACAAATACAATTGGTGAGAATGTTCCAGACTATTAATTTCCAATTCTCAGCTTACAACAAACACAAACATGTTAAGCAATGTTTGCATCAACTGCACATACAACAATTAAATCCTTTCTGTAAACAACTTCAAATTTGGTTTATTATCATACTTATTTCATTATAACATTACTCTGATTGAAAAATTTGTAATTTTAAAATTAAATAACAATTATTATAATGTAATAATTGTTGATTTAATGATTTCCTAATTTTTGAATAAAGCATGTTTTAATTATTCCTATATAAATTGGTAGGAATATTTTAATTTGATCAGGCAATTAGTTAAATTTTATTAAATTTCCAACTCTAATGTACTATACCACAAAAAAATGTTCAAGTTTGACTCACCTAAAATGCAATTATATACTTTCTTTAGTAATTCAAAACATAAACTAATGCTGATTAGTATCATACCTATTTCTTTATACCATTAGTCTGATTTCTAAAGAAACAATGAATCACACGAAAAGGATAATAATGATTTTAAAAATATCTAATTTTTTAATTTTAAAATTAAGTAAGAATTATATTCATGTCCAACTACCTATTGGGTGTTGTGGACAAGGAGGCAAACAACTTTACGATATATTTTTCATACCATTATCAATAAAAAGTTATAGGTGCTGTGGCATATTTGAGCTGGACAATCTAACCACTTCGCTGCTGCTATCCCATATTGAGATGTAAGTCAGATATAGTGTGAATTTTGGAGACCGATTAAAGTTGACTTAATCAGTTTAACAACATGTTTTAGAAGATGTGAAATTTCTGTTGATCTTATGAGTTAGTTACTTATAGACCAAGTTTCTGAAAGCAAGGGTGCTGATTTTAGCATAATAATTCAATTTTACCCAAAATTCAACTTACTCACTTATTCACAATTCATACAGAATTATTATAATAGTATTACAATAATTATATAATAATTGTTATTGAATGTTTTCTTAATCGTCATTTTTTTAAATAAAGAATGTGTTTTTATTTCATTCTTATTTTACACTTTTAGTATCAAATAGTATATATTTTCATCGTAAATTATAATTTATTTAACTTGAGTCCTAGAGTTTGCTGAAAATTGCAATATTGTTCAATGTTGTATCTTATTTTATCACAGGACAAAGGGGCATTTTTCGTGTCCAGCCACTATTAACAATCCCCCATTTCATGCTTTTGAATTAAAATGCAGTAACAAAAGATAAGTCAGTCAAAGCCAGACTTCTAAACCACAAGTAGATTTTCTTCTTTTTTTTTCAATTAAAAAACAATCAATTAAGAAAAAAATTTATTTGTCCAACAATAAATTATAAAATATTATTAAATATTTTTATTTTAAAAAAATAGGGTGCTCTTATTGAAAATCAATAGTCTTATTTTTAAAAAACAAGACGTGCTTGAAGCTTTAATCAAAGATTCAAACACGCTAATATCTAAGATTATTACAAAAACCAACTTTTGATATGTTTTACACTTTTATAAACCTTAAATAAAAAATAGATTTTTTATTTGGAAAGACTACAATTTGCTCATTTTTGAAACTTGAATAAAATCTCAATCTTTTCATAATGGGATTTTTGTATTCCAAAAACTTTGGTTATCTACACTCGATAGATATCTTTAAAGGAGCAATTTTTTCTGTAAGACGTTGATACTCTGTTTGCATGATGTTATATGTTTTATTCATAAGCAACTCGACATCATCAAGCGTCAGATTGTCAGTTGGTATTGGGTCCAAGGCTGATATGTACATATTACCTAAAAAATATATTTAAAAAATGTTATTACAGGAGTTTTATTTTTTAATTATTTTTCATGTAAAATCAATCACTTGGAGTGTAGGATTACCTCTGTTGAATATTTTGTTGTTAGAATCAATAAAATAATACGGTGAAAATACAACAGGTATAACTGGAACATTACATTCGATAGCAGTTATAAAAGCCCCTTTTTTGAATGGAAGTAATTCCTTGCCTTTCTGGTTTCTAGTTCCTTCAGGGAAAAGCCACAGCTTCGTCTACATAAACGAAACATTTGCTTTTTCTTTTCTTTTTTTTTAATGTTCTTAAATACCTTTTTTTCCTTCACAAGGTAGGCAGTTTTCTTGAGTTGTTCCTTTGCCTTTTTTGGGTTTGATCTATCGATGAAAACGAGCCCGGCAAGCCAGGCAACCGGCCCAAATGGTGCAACATACATTATCTCCCTTTTAGCCACTGCCGTACACCTTCCCATTATCTCCCAGATGTTCCACATTCCTTTAAATAAAAATAAAAAATGAATTAAAAAACAGGGTACGTCATATTTCTATTAAATACATCACAATAATCTGTAATAAAGATGATCTATAATATGACAAGAGGACATTCCAAAATTTTGACTACATCTTAATTATTATTTTTGTGTGGTGATTAGTGACCGTTAGTCGATGATTATCCGGAAATCGTGAGATGTGGTCTGGTGTGATGTAGGTTTCAGAAAAACATTTTCTTTATCGTGTCAACATTTCAATCTTTATTGAGATCATCTTCAGAGCCTGGGATTTACAAACATTGTTTAAATTTAACAAATACATGTAGGATGTGGAAAAAAGTGAATTTATACAATGCAAAAAAAAATATTTTTTTTCATATTCAATCAAAGTATTTCTACTCACTCAAAGTGTTTGTTTTCTGCGTAATTGTGCCATTATTTGGACAAACTCTTTGAGTGAGTAGAAATACTTTGATTGAATATGAAAAAATATTTTTTTTTGCATTGTATAAATTCACTTTTTTCCACATCCTACATGTATTTGTTAAATTTAAACAATGTTTGTAAATCCCAGGCCCTGAAGATGATCTCAATAAAGATTGAAACTTTGACACGATAAAGAAAATGTTTTTCTGAAACCTACATCACACCAGACCGCACCAGATTTTCGAATAATTAATTATTATTTTTTTTTTTTGTAGTCTTCTATTGCTTTTTTTTAAATCTTATTTTGCATGTTCCAAAATGGATAATTTTTATTGTGTAATTTGTTCTGGTTGTTTAGAAAGTTGTTTTATAAATACAAACCAAATAAATTTATAGTTATATACATAGTTTATAAATTTGGCTATGTTTGGTATGCAGAAAACATATTCACAACATTATTTACTGAAAAATAATCATGTTAGTAAAATAGATGCCAATACCACATGGTTGACCACTTATTAAAATTCTCGCTCCCAAAAGATAGATATCTGTAAAAACAGCCTTCTAAACAGGCCAGACAGACAAATGACTTCTTTTTATAGACTCAAGACAATGTAATCATAAAAATCTCATGAATTATAACACTTTTTATCTAAACCATCATCTCATCTATTTTTTTAATCTACTCTAATCTACTTTATCAAATAACAAAGGATTGAAAAATGTAAAATTATATTAAAATTTAAGAATTAAATTTATAGTTACGCTTTACAAATCATTATTAGTATTTTTTTTATATATTTAAACTTTTAACAAATACAGATATTTTTAATGTGTGGTGATTAGTGACCGTTAATTGATATTTATTTAGAAATCGTGAGATGCGGTCTGGTGTGATGTAGGATTCAGAAAAACATTTTCTTTATCGTGCCAACGTTCAATCTTTATTGAGATCATCTTCAGGGCCTGGGATTTACAAACATTGTTTACATATAACAATTACATTTTGGATGTTGGAAAGTGAATTTATACAATGCAAAATATTTTTTTTTTATATATTCAAAGTATTTCTACTCACTCAAAGTGTTTGTCTTCTGTGTAATTCTTGCATGTCGTGTTGAGAGTGCCACGATATCGTTGGCACGATAAAGAAAATGTTTTTCTGAAACCTACATCACACCAGACCGCATCTCACGATTTCTAAATAGATATTTTTAATCTTATGTGTATCAGTACCTATATGATGGTATGGCATGTGAAGTAATGGTTGCATAAAAATACAATTTTACAGCATGAAGCATTAAATAACAAAACTTTACTTCACTATAAAACAAAAATATGATGCAATGCTTTAGAATAGCAATTTGCTCACATATAAGACATAGAGGCAGACCACTCAATAAACTAATATGCAAATAAAAATAAACATAAACACATAAATATGTTTAATTACACAACAGAGAAAGAGAATGCGAGGAGAGAGAGATAGAGAAGGAGTCAGTGCGACGAAAAAGACAGGGTGTGTGGGTGTTTTAATTTCCTGGTGAAAGTACACCCTAACACCACGGAGTTTATTATCTATTATGTCTACATGCTTCATTAATAATATTACATGGATATCTCAAATGAATTATATAGTATATTTACAATTCTGATTATAATTGTATGATTAACATTTGTACAGTAAACAATTACAAAAAGAAACTGACTTTGTTTTCAATTAAGAAGAAAAAGAATAATTACTAAGTACATAAGGAATATTTACAATATTTACAACAACTGAAGGTCAATACTTTTAAGAAAATAAAATATTTACATAAACCTTGATCTAATAACAAACATATGTTATTCAGAGGAATATCGTTCTTGAGACACCTTTTAATGAGTTCAGAGCATTGGCGATCAAACATAGGATGCTCGATTATAATATACTCCTACCTACTCACAGCTGCAGTTTGGATTGGTCACGATGCCAAAGCGGTGTAAATAAGCCTGTGTCTGCTAAGGGCTTGGGTTGTATAAAAGTTTAGCCTTGCTAGAAGGCTGGTTCTTCGGCTGTTGATGCTCAGGAAGAACTTCTTCGTGTGGTACCCTTTCAACGTTCCAACCCAGATGGTCTCCCATGTTTTAGGCTCTCCTCAATGAGCCTTGCCCGAATGTAAGAACGGGGTACCCTGCTGAATGTCTCCTCTAAGGTGAAGTTCTGCGATGCCAGCATAGCGAGAGCCAAAAAACACTTCGTTTCCACTTCAATTCCATATTTTGAACCTTCTCTCTAATTGCGGCAATCATTGATTGTTGGTTTTATATTGATTTAGACTATCTAGATTTAGTCAACTATTGGTGTGTGAGTCCGTTTTTTTCCCAGCGAGAGTAACCCTAACACCGGGGAGTTTATTGATACATGCTCTATTTTAATATTACATGCTTATCTCGTATAGAATAATTTATTTAATCATTTTGTTTTATTTGTTTAATAATGTTAAATTTTTAGTGAATAGTAAATGTTATTTTTGGTATGAAGTACATATTTATAGTTTTTTTAATATTTTTTTATTAATTATTTTATTTAACTCTTGTGTACATACACATTATGTTTTGCTAATAAATACTGATATACAGCACACTCAAAAAGTGTGATTAACATGGCATTTGAGGATGGGTCCTGCCCTATGGTAGTCCACACAATAATTCACTGGAGTATAATAATTTGAGATAAATAAATATCTCATTAATAAATAAATTAACCTACTTTTTTGTTTTTATCTATAATCATATAACGTCAGGCGCACGTTTACACTAGTGCTTATTTACATTAACACATCTTTACAATCTGTTGTCTGTACATATTTATAGTATTTTGGAAATGTATTTTTCCCTTCAATTCCACTGGAAAATCCATACGCCCGCCCATACACATCCGTGCATAATACACACAAACATTAACACAGTATATCACAGACTTTTAGTGCCAGTACTTTTTTACTTACAATACAATACTTTAAAAATACAAAAGCCAATATGTTTTAGAAAATATCTAAGAGGAAAAAAGTAACAGCTAAAAATCACGATAAAAAATTTAATTTTTTTATCAAACAATTTAGTAAGGATTGAATTTATTTTACTATCATATAATTGCGTTCTCCTATTAAGCACCTTTATACATCCTTTTTCAAGTTGTTTGTAAATCAACAGTTAAAGATCGCTTTCAAGATAAGCCATGAGTCAAACTCAGCCATTTAAAAGCCTTGGAATAAAAGACCATGCTAAAATTTATTTACATTCAAGAAAATTCAATCCCTAAAAATTTCATTTAAAATTAGTTTTTGTACATAAATTAAACTAAGCATATTTAACAAAGTTAAATTTATTTTTGTTTTAAATTTGTAGATAATAGTTCTACATAAATATAGAAATAAAGTTATTTGCACTATTTTGTGTATGTTGTTATCAATTCTTCTTTTCTCTAGAAGAGAATATTAATATTTTTATAATTTCATTATTATAAAAAATATGCTCAAATCAACCTTAAAGTGCTCATTAATTGAAAAAATATCAAGTTGTGAAAATCATAAGCTACTGTTTTTAATAAATATAAACAAAATTAAAATTCAAACAACATCAAGTGCATTAATATTATTCTTAAAGATTAAAATAGACTGCACACAATTCTAACTTTGTTTATTTATATTTCTATTTTGTTTTGATTACTATGAAATATTTTACATACCCATAACATCCAGAACGCTTTGGTGATTTGCAACAATAACAGCTCCCCTCTGTTCTTTGAGTATGTCTTTTCCTTTCTCCAAGTACCATGTTATTCCGAGTACTTTAGTAAAATATTTCATTATGATACCAGCAATACTGTTTAGCATCGAAATAAAATAAAGACATTGATTAAAATCAAAAAAACAATAATCTGATATAATAATATAAAAACCCACGTTAAATTGTCAATATTTTTTGGTCTTAGTAAAAAAATAGGCACTAATAAAAGTCCAAAAGTAGATACGTAAAGCACGTAGAACGTATACACTCCATAATAGCGTATTTTCTTATTTGACGAATAGGGCATTAGTAATACGATGAAGAATACCAATCCAACTATATATTTCCATTCCAATATGCTCAAAGCTGAAACCATGCCTGGAATAAAAACAGAAAATACATGCAGATCAAAACAATACTGAACACATGCTGAAACAAAGATGAAAAATTTACTTGATGCAGGTTTATATTCCTCTGTACTATCCACATTAAACTTCTAAATGCTACTGGACGTAGTAGTCTTCCCCCTATCCAGCCAAAGTGTTTAGTTGATAATCTCTCTTGAGTATTAGGTTGTTATAGTGCTTCCCCACTTTTAATCAATATTCTTTCCTGGCCATTATCTCCCTTTTTATAAATATATTAACACAGCTTTGCCTTTAAGCTTTATTCGCGCTTTGATTTTCTTTGTATTTACACTAAATAATTGGTTTAAAAATTGTATAACAAGCTTATTTAATTGTGTAAATTCGTTTGGGTGACATTTTAAGCTTTTAAATAATCCAATTCAATGAAAATTGCACAATGCTTGAATATGTTGCTATTCCAAATATTGTTTTACCTTTTTTTAAAGTATTATAATCAACTTTTTTTTGGTAATAATAGTAACTTGTATTAATTGTAGGGTTAATCTTAAAAAAAGATATTTATTCCAATCCACTTCAAATACCAAAAAAATTAAACATTGACTATACAGCCAACAAAATAAATATTATAATAATAAAATATTTCAGTTTAATAACAAACCTGATAATTACATTTATATACATTTTAAAAATTTATTAATTATTAATTAAAACCTACCTTCAATGAAACTACACAGAAGTAAATATAATTCTAGACAAAACCAACTTATTTTTGAAATATTCATTGCTCCTTTATTTAAATAATTTTACTGAATCTAATTACAACTACTTAAATTACTGTTTTACTTTCCTAAAAATTAAAAACATATGTTTTGCAAAATATAAACTTCTTATGCCATTTAAATATTACACAAACAAATCAAGTCTGGATTCTATGGCATATATGGAAGATAATGGCATAAGAATCAATTAATTAAACTATTTATACAGGATTATACAGGATCACAAATCAAAGCGGTAGTGTTCCATTTTGTAATGTGTATATTACAAATCCAATGTTGCTTTTGTTACAGAAACCAAAACAAAGTCTTATATTGAATAAGTCTAATTATAATTGTTAATTTTAAAGGTATCATTTACAGAAAAAAAACATTTCAATTGTCCAATTTATAAAATTTAACCACATCATTTATGCTAAATTTACCCATAAATTTACCCATGCTTCAAACATTAATTATCGTTCAAAAACATTTTTGTTTTGTTCATGAAATTAGATGAATTAAAGCAACAATAACTTTAAAATGCTGGAAATTAAAAAAAAATAGAATTTGAAAATAAATATTTCTTTTGGGAACAATTTGTTTTCTTTAAAACTAGATCTTACCCTTTAGCATATTAATTATCTTCCAACTGCTATATTTTAAAAAATTGTGTTTGTTCACATGAAACAATTAGTAATTTAAAGCAACAGTGCTTGAACTAACAGGACAAATACAATAACAACAAAATTGAAAGAAGTTTTTATTTATTTTAATGGAAACTGGGTGGGAAAAAATATTTTTTGAAATTATTTTTATGACACTTAAACATCTAATAAAAACAGAACTTTTAGCTTTATTATGCTTGATGATAATGGTCTGTATTTCATGTTTGTTTTAGCTGTCACACTGCTTCCTTCAATAGTTAGTCTGTGCGTTATTTCATCAGTTGTGTCCTTTTTCTAAAATTTAAATAATTCAACCGTTGATTCAATAAAAGCCCATACTCAATGTCATTGACATCAATCAATTTACAAATGTTGTCTACTTTAATTCACTACTTTCGTGGTCCACTTGACCAATTAATACATGACAATTAATTAAGGTTTTTAGTTGGGATGAAAAAAAGTTAATTAATTGTCGTTGTCTACTTTGTTTAAACAATCACAACTATAAATATACAATGACCATTTTCATTTTCAATCTGATATTATATTTTCAGAGTGGGTCATGGGTTTTGGAACTCGAATTCTTCACTGATTATGGCACGATTCCGAAACACATATAAATAACTCACAAAAACAAAAAACACAAATGGAGACAGACCCAGTAAGTGACCCTGTGTTGCTCTAACATGATATTTTCAGTTGGCAATTAAAGTTTAAAATAAATAAAGCACTAGGTATAATATATTTTCATGCGATGATCATTTCAAATTGTTCTTGTTTTCCTTAAAAAAGAAAGAAGGAAAAAAAAAACAAAAAAAACCTCTAATTGCCCAAACTTAAAGTTGTTTCAACAGATTTTCTCACAATTAAGATAATAAAGTTATAACAATTTAACAATTCACTTGTTGTAAATGAGAGTTCTACTCACAGAATTGTTGTTTAGTGTTCGTCTATGAGTAGAACTATCATTTTAAAAAAGTGAATCAACAAACCCCACCTTTGTTATTTCTATGTGACAATTCTTAAAATCACAAAGATTGGGAACAACAAAATCATAAATCTAGAACAATTTATGAATAATTTTTCATTAATAGTTTCATAGCGAAATTTATTATTTTTTATTTATTTATTCTTTAAATTATTATTTGTGTGTTGTCCTGCCTATAGATATGTTGAGTGCTATTATTTTTGTATATTTGACATTAATCATTCTTCCCATTTTACTCCCTCAAAACCACTGGGCGAGATATTATGCCTGCTACATATCTTTCATACTCTTGTGTTCATTGTTTTCATTTATTACCATAATAGTATGCATATTGAGACTGGGAAACCCACAACACATTTGGTAAGAAAGATTTACCATGTTATTAAATGCTTAATGATATTGAATATACAATTTTTATAATTTATAGGTTGACAAATATTGCTGCTAGTACAATATCTAAGGTTCTCGGCTTGTCCTTTGAAGTAAGAGGTACTGAGAATATCAATAAATCCAAAAAAGGAATTATTGTTTTAAACCATCAGTCAATCCTGGATGTTCTCTGTAATAATAATTTTGTGTGGTGATTAGTGACTGTTATTCAATAATTATTCAGAAATTGTGAGATGCGGTCTGGTGTGATAGTTTCAGAAAAACATTTTTTTGTCGTGCCAACGTTTCGATCTTTATTGAGATCATCTTCAGGGCCTTGTGTTGTCTGCATTTCAGCAAAAAGGAAGAAGGACATCGCCAACAATGAGAAGAAACTCGCATCGGCTCTCAACCAGAGAACTTTTTTGCTGAAATGCAGACAACACAAGGCCCTAAAGATGATCTCAATAAAGATCGAAACTTTGGCACAATAAAGAAAATGTTTTTCTGAAACTATCACACCAGACCACATCTCACAATTTATGAATAATTAATAATAATTATTATTTATTTAGTTTTAACATAAATATATACATTTACTAAAGTAACGTGCATTATTACAGCAGCTGTCACCATTTTTAAATATTATGGGACATGTGTAGGAGTTGCAAGAAAAGAGGTGTTCTATTGTTGGCCTTTTGGTTTGGCTATTTATTTTAGCAGCTTCATTTCCATCAACCGAGATGATAGAAACACAGCTTTTAAAAGTCTTTCCAGTGGTGTTAAAAAACACTTTGAAAAGTACAAGGTATACCAGCTATATAAATAATATATTTATATGTATTTAAAAAAAATTATTTATTGTAGAACGGGACAGTATTTATTTTTCCTGAAGGCACAAGAAATAAAAATGGTACAAATTTATTGCCTTTTAAAAAAGGTAGTTTCAAGCTTGCAATTGAAAATCAAGTCCCAATTTATCCAGTCACAATTTCACCGTATTATTTTATTAAAGGGAAACAGTTTAAAAATGGTAATATTTTTTTGCAATTTTAACACCATCTAAATATAATGTTGTAAGATCAATCATTAAATTAAAAATATCAATAATAATTTCTAGGCAAGATAATCATTTCTCTCCTTGAGCCAATTTCATCTGACGAAATGACATTAAGTGATATTGATATGTTGACAAGCAAAACGCAAAACTGCATGGAGGAAGAATATCAGAGACTTTTCAAATATGTGACTTTGAATATTAAATAAAAATTTGCATTGATATTTCTTTTAATCAGTATAAATTGAATGACAGTTTGGTTGATTATGTTATATGATTTAACAAAATGACACAAATGTTTTTAAGCCAATAATAAAAGCACAAATATTTGTAAATACACTGTGTATAATATATATATATATATTTTTTATAGGCCGACAAACGGCTAAAGTCATCGCCGGCCCTCCATGTGTAAGTGTATATAATAAAAAATGAAAAGTTATTCAAAGAATGTATATTCATTTTCAACTTAAGTGCTCAAAATGAAAGTGAATTTTATGCAGAAGTTTATTTATTTTATTGCAGTTCAAACGATTAAAATGGCCCAAAACTGAACAATCATGAGTACAAAAAACAAACATAAAAATTCAGAATTTCAACACTTATTAAATAAAAAGAATACATTACAACTAAATAATAACTGTAATAAATAACAATAAAACTTGTGACAAGAAAAAATCAAACAAAAAATAAATAAATAAAAAAATTTTTAATAAATAATAATTATTTTCTTAACAGACAAGGAATCAGAGAAATGGTTCGTTACATCTCCATATTGATTAATGAGCCTAACTATCCCAGAAAGACTAGATTCCGACTTATAATTCGCTCTTTATTTTGAAATATAGAATAGCTCTCAGGAGCTGGGAAACCCTTTTACCAATGCAGGACAAGATCTCCGGTAATCAATCCTATTGTTAAACATCTTCCATAAGAACAAGGCCAAAGTCAAAATTCTTATCTCTTTCAAAGAGTCCAGTCCGATCAAATTCAGCCTTATCGTACAAACGAAGTCACTGGTGTGATGTGTATTCATTTTTAATAGAAAATATTTGGATACGTTCGTTTGTACCCTCTCAATCACGAGATCAGTGGATTGATCCAGGTGACCAAACAATACTTGCTTACTCCAAACCAAATGACAACAAACGAGTGATCGGTAGAGGATTTTTACGGCAAATACGTTTTTCAAATCTACCATCTGCCTTTTAAAGAAGCCAAAATTTTTCAAAGTTTTTTTTTATCAGTTTCAAGGTGTTTTTTTAAAAAAATAGTATAATCCCACTACTCAAGGAAATTTTTAATTGTGCTAATATTAAAATATGTGTTAGCTAAAAAAAGTAAAGGTCATCTTGCATTAACTCTCTCTTCTCACACCTATGGGAATCAACACTAACATAACAAAGAAAAAAATCTCGGCTTATTTGCATATAATCATTCTATGTAAAATCCACTTTAGTTTTCCAACTTCAGTGCAAACGGTCTATTGTTCTCAATAATATTTATATTTACAATTTTTGAAAAAAATTTAATATTTTGCTGAAATACTAAAAAATTCTGGTCTTAGAAATAAAACAGCCAAAATATTTAAATAAAGTCTTTTTTTTACGAGTAGTATAAAAGACAAATTATTTTAATTATTACATTTAAGAAATTATTATTATTTTATTGTTTGTGTGATTGTGAGACCAGGAATGTCGGTTATTTGGATTTTAGTACTAATCATTTTTATTCTTGATCAAAAAAGTAGAAAGTTTTCCTACTGTGTCCGTTGGGTATACTTTCTTACATTGTGCTTGATTGCCGGCACAGTTGCTTTTCCATATTTTGTCTTCAAAAAGAACAACCCAAGAAATCTCTGGTAATGATTTATTTATTTATTATGAAGCTTTATGTTTGTATTAATTTCATGTTAATAAATTTAGGATGTTTGGACACTTATCGGACATCATTTTCTGGTTGATGGGTATACAATTTGAATTAAGATCTGACGGAAAATCAAAGGTAGATGGTCATGGAATCATTGTTGTAAATCATCAATCCACCATTGATGCTTTATGTAAGATTGTTTTCAGACTATAGAAATTTAAAAATTGTCTTCACTAAAAATATTTTGTAGACTAATCTGTATTCTAATATTAACAGCAATTACTAAAAAAATGTTATAAAACGGTTTAAATTAATTATTTTTTTAATAGATATTGCATGGAAATCAATTGGTTTATAATGAATTTACATTTCTTAGCAAAACAGAAACTTTTAGAAGAGATTTTTTTCACATTGTTATATGCATAATGGATTCATGGTAAAAATCAAATAATTCAAATCAATTTTAAATAAGATGCTTTACTAGGCAGTTTGTGTTATTATGCTATTACTTCCCAGGCTCAACCAAGATGTATAGACATTATGGGGACTGTGTCGGAGTGGCGAGGAAGGAGATAAAATATCTTGGCCTTATGGGACCTTCGATGGTTATGGGCGGTTACATTTTTATAAACAGGGGCAATAAAGAATCAGCGATTAAAGAAATATCCAAAGGAATCGCTAATCATTTAAGAAATTATAAAGTAATTTTGATTTATTATGTATGATTTGAATTAAAGCAAAAAAAAATCAGTAACTTGATTTACAAAATTGTTTTTAGGATGGCAAAGTAATAATTTTTCCTGAAGGGACGAGGAACAAGATCGGAAGTGAATTTTTACCATTTAAAAAAGGAGCTTTTCGAGCTGCCATCGACAATCAAGTGCCAATCTTTCCTTGTGTTATATCACCGCTTAATTTTATCAAAAAGGACAAATATTTCAACAAAGGTTTGTTTAGCAATTGGTTGTAAATAATATAAAATATATATAAACTTTTTTCTTAAACAGGTAAAATAATAGTTACTCAGTTGGAGCCTATACCTACTGTCGGCATGACAGCAGAAGACATAGATTCCTTAATAGAAAAAACAAGAAATGTCATGGCAATAGAATATAAAAAATTAGGTGATGAGCTATATCCTAAAAGTTTGTAACAAGCTGAAAATGCTTAAATTATGTAATTAAAAATTAATTTAATAAATAAATTGCAAACAAAATACAATGTGGTATTTTTTATTTTCAATTTTGTGTGTGTGTGTGTGTGTGTCTTTTGTAATAAATTAATCACAATTTATCATTGTTTTATATGTATGCAAAAAGCTAAAATACAACCAGAACTATACATTATGCACCAGAACATTGGTTCGCTTCAACAATTTTATGTTCACAATTTGTCCTTCATCAGAAACATCAACAATTCCTAACTTATTTTTCAAAAATTAGCAGGCAAAAAATTAACTATTTTAATTACATATTTTTTCTTGATTCAAATTAGCATAATATTTGTAAATAATCATGCAATCTCATATGCTTGTTTTCTTTCCTTTTTTTATTTGTAAATAAGCAATCGTGGGACCATTTTGTGTTGTAGCGTTAAACAATAAAGAGCTTACAAAAATCAATTAATAGTTAGTTTATCTACATTTATATTCTGCCTAATTTGTACCTTAAGAACTCATATTTTTTATACTAATATTTTTAGGCACTTGTTATATAGAAATGAATTATATTTAATTAATATAAAAAAACATATGTTGTAAGGTTTCTCTGAGATATGTGGGTTGTCAAAGCTTAACGAATCATTTTAGTCTATCATCATAGGGTTGAACTGTCAAATGCATTTCGGCATTTTGCCATTTTCTGTGGATTGACTGTTGTCATTGCCCGTTGAGTAATGTCTGAAAGAGTGTCAGCATTGCCTGGCAGACTACACATGTGAGAATAGGCAGACCACAATCATCAGCAACGAACAAATTACACATCCATCACCTTGTCAGGCCTTAGAATTTTTTAAACAAATTGAACATGGAATTTCAATGATTTGGTAAAAACAGAAATAGTATCTTGATGACAAGTGTCTTTACTATAAAACTAAACTAAATAGTTACATGGTGGATTTGAGCTAAAAGTACAATTAATATTTTGTACTGGGCAGAAATTGTCAATCTTTAACTTCATGACTAATTATAAATAATAGAAAACAGTAAGTGTAAGTGGGGTTTTTGTATTTTATATTTATTGTCACTAATTACCAGTCTTAGATACTTTTTTTTAAATTGTACAATATTAGTCTACAACTTAGTATGGCATGTTAGACATTTTGTTTTATTTAAAACAATTAACAGCTGATGGATGTAACATAAGTTTTAAAAACTAAACCCTAACCATCCTTGTAATTTTTCACCAATTCCTTTGTAAACATTTTTAAAAGTAATTAATAAAACACATTTTTGTTGAATAATCATAAAACGACCCTATAATATTTGTTTCTATTTCTGAAAATGTGTTTGCCCCATTACTGCTCATTATGTTTATATGGCAATTTATTAATCAGATATAGAACCGTTACTATTAATGAATTGACATTTTAGGAATCATTTTACCAATAAGGAGTTTGTTGCTGATTGTCGAATCGTGCAGATAGAAAATGCTGATTATTTGGATTGTTCTTTTTATACTATTTCTCCTTTTTCCTAAATACGGAAGGTTTTCATACCTTGTACGTTGCTTTTATTCACTTGCAATGTGTTTTATTAGCAGTATGATACTTTTCCCATATTTTATCTTGACGAAGAAAAACCCCAGGAATCTCTGGTAATTTATATAATTTTTTTTTTTTAATTAAATCTATGAATTTTTTCTTTTTTAATTTTCAAATATAAATCCTAGGTTGTTTGGATACTCAGCGGATATTATTCTTTGGTTGATGGATTTAAAATTAGAATTAAGGGTTGTTGGGAAATCAAAGGTAGACGGGCATGGAATCATTGTTATGAATCATCAATCATTCATCGATGTTGTAGGTAAGATTGTTTTATACATGTACAATAAAACAAATTGACCACATCAGACTAACATATAGGCTCTCTTAATTAACTGAAGGCAATGTTGCACATTGTGCAGCGCCCACATAACTGTAAAACACTTATTGCTATAGTTATGCTATGGTTGACACAAAAAAAGGACAATATTACAATATCAAAGACAAAGAATAACGGTTGCAAATTTTTTTTTAATACCTGACGTGGAAAAATGCAAATGGTTGCATTTGACGGCCTTTCGCACATAGTTTTTCCATCTAGAATGAATGTATTTATTAGCTTGAGTGTTTGAAATGGGTGAATTTGTTGTGTTACTTAACACATTAATTTATTAAATTAATATTTTGTAATAGATGTATGGAGGATTAATTGATTTGTAATGGGTAGACTAAAACCGTCTATCTTCAGATTAGCTTGATTATAAAAGAATATTATTAGAAAGAACCTATCAGGAAGAATTTTCTCAACTAAAATAATCTCCATAATTCTTCATAGAAAAAATTAAATTGACAATCAAACGAACTTTTATAAGTCGCTTTCGGATTAATTTTCCAGGCGTGGCCAAGCTTTATAGATGTTATGGCGACTGTATCGGTGTGGCGAGGAAAGAAGTCAAATATCTCGCTCCTTTGGGCCCTTCACTCGCTATGGGTGGTTACATATTTATAGACAGAGAAAATAAACAATCAGCTATTAAAATTATCTCAGAAGGAATCGCTGATCATTTCAAAACATACAAGGTATGTTTGATAATCATATATGTTATGTATTTATTCCATTTTGGTGCAGTAAAAAAAACAACACTTGTCTAGTTCTATTTTTTCTTTTATTTAATGTTTTAAAAAAACTGTAAAAAACAAAAACTGTACACATTACAATGAACAAAATTTATTTCTAGGATGGCAAAGTTATGATTTTTCCAGAAGGTACAAGGAACAAAATAGGAAGTAATTTTTTACCGTTTAAAAAAGGAGCTTTTCGAGTCGCAATTGACAACCAAGTGCCAATCTTCCCTTGTGTCATATCGCCATATAATTTTGTCAAAAAGAACAAATATTTCAATAAAGGTTTGTTTAAATGAAATCGCCAATAATAGTAACTATAAAAAGCTTTGTTTCTTAAAAGGTAAAATTATAATTACACTGATGGAACCCATACCCACTGTCGGCATGACAGCAGCAGATGCAGATGCCTTATTAGAAAAAACAAGAAACCTCATGTTGGATGAATATAGAAAACTAGCCACCGAGCTAAATCCAAGAAGCTTGTGATTAAAAAAAAACACTAATTTTGCTTATTGTATACTCTAAAAAAAGAAACAAATACTATAAATTTGTATTATTTTTCTATGACTATGTGATAAAGTGATGTATGATTACTTCATTTTATTTACAAAAGTCCAAGTACAGTGCTCTTTCCCTAATCTGAACTTTGGTACTCTAACCATTGCAGAAATCCGAACTGAAAAAATTCAAGCTTTAAATTTAAAAAAATGAGAAGAGGGGGAGAGAGAAAGAGAGAGAGAGAATAAGTGAAAGAGAATGAGGGGACATATGAAAGAATACCAGCGTAGACATGAATTTTTGAGAATTTCTTTTATACAGTGAATCCCTCGCTTCCTTCACTACTAAAAAATGAAAATGGCCAGTCTATATTTTTCATGTTTTACATATAATTTATGTACTGATTAAAAATGTGTGAAAAAAGACCAAGAAACAATAATGAAAATGTTAAATAAATTTTTAAAAATCAAAGAAAAAGTGGCAATAATAAATATTCATATGTATTTTTTTAACACCCATTATAATCCAAATACTCCCATGCAGCAATCAGTTCAGATTTCTGAGGGAACACCGTACTTCAGAACAATTATTAGTTCATAACCAGCCAATCATTTAATTTACTAACAAGTATTTTAAAACTATACATTTTCATATGTGGTCTACTAAAACTTTATTAAGTTGAAAAAAAGTTAAAACACTAAAGTACATTTCTTGTTAGCATCAGTTTTGTAAATGTACAGATTTCAACCATAATATATACTTTAAATGGTAAAATAACATCGAGCGTTGAACTAAAGGTTTTAAGATCTGAAAATCAGGGGTGAGCTGAAAGGAAGTCGGTAAACAGTCAAAATTTAGAACATTTATTTCATAAAATACAATTTGTCTTAACCCTATTTTGATAAGTTTTTACAATTGTTTCATAAAAAAATTTGAAAAAAATTGGGGATCACAAATAATTTGGTCTTTTTTTTAATACATGTATTTTATGTTAAGATTCTTTAAAATTATTTATGCACTATTAAGCTAAACCTTTGAGAATTTAATATTGACTAGACCGAAGATTTATAACGTAAAATGTGCGTTGTACTACTTTAAAAGCTAAAAAAATAATTTCTCTTATACAATAATGACAGTCTTATAAAAAAGCTCAAAACAAAAAAATTTCATTAGATTAAACTCATTCATAGATTAAAATTGATCCAAGAAACATGACAAGAAATCATGCTGTTTGATTTAAAAATGGTGATGGGGGATTGTGACACCATATCGGTACGGACGGTATAAAGAACAAAAAAACCATCATTTGTTATAAATTAATCACATATAAGCATTCTTAATGTTAAATTTAAAACTTTGAGATCACAGGAAATTTGAATGGAATAATTTTTTTTTAAGATGCAAGCAAAAATAAACTTTTTAAAATTTGTTTTGTAGGCCTCAAATGATTCAAAAGATAGAATAAATAATAATGAAATTGAATCAAAAGAAGAGTGCGTTAATTAATTTCCTCAGAGGGGGGACATCCAATTAATTTTATTTACATGAAAACTAGTTGATTTTAATATTTCTTTAATGCCAACAATATAATAAAAAATTGGTAACCACTTAAAAGATTAAATTGAGCAGTATTAAATAATGAAGAAACTATTATACAGATATTATACCTATTTGTGAGCTTTTTTAATCAAAAATCTGTGGGTTTTTTGTTTTTTTTTAAATGATGTATTCATATCAAAACACTAGTACCCATTAGGACCTCTATTTTACTTTAAAAAGTCTTACTTCTCACTTTTTATGTACCACTGCAGTACAAACTAGAAAATTATTGTTTAAAAAAAAATCTGTTTCTTTGAGAGAGATTCGACAAATCAGTCCTATAATTTCTATAATTTTTTAAAATCCAGTTTTGTATGGTATTGTTAACTTTTAAACTAAAAAAAAAACTAAAAGCGAACACATTAATTTGTAGGATTTCATTTAGATGATTTTTAAGAAATGGTTAAATAATTTAACTTATTCCATGCAATACAATTCAAATTAATTAATAATTAGATAATTTTTCATCATTTTTTCTTTCAATTGTCTTTATTTTAAGTTATAAATAAATAAAACAAGTAGAAAATATTTAAATTTAAGAGCAGTTTGACTTTTTTTATCCCAATAGGATAGCAAAATTGTTGGTTTATTATAAAAGTTTTGACTTTGAAATACACCGAATTCAAACAAATAAATATTTTTCTTTTGCATTTACACATTTATCTGAAGAAGAATTTTTAATAAAGTACAGGATTTTTCCTTTTTTTTTTTTTACTCAAAGATAAGCTCAAAAACATTGAACACCATAATAAATCTTAGAAGATAGAGAAAATCTTAAGGGCTGATGTTTTTAATCTCATTTTCTGGGATTTGTTCAGAATGAATGTTTCTAATATGTTTGACAAGTTTATCTTTTCTGCAGTACGAAGATGTGCAGTAATTGCACTGGTACGGCTTGAAAAACGAATGGGTGAGAATGTGCCTTGACAATTCATGAGGTGAGGAGAGGACTTTCAAACAAATTTCACAAGTCGGAGGCTCTTTGTAGATGGCCTTCGATGTCCTTTTTGGCATTATATGGGTTCTCATGTGCCTCGTGAGCTTATCGCGCCTCGAGAACGCCTTACCACACGTTTCGCACGAGAACGGCTTGAAACCGGTATGCGTGAGCGAATGCCGCACAAGCTCCCTCCTCTGGTGGAAACCTTTGAAGCAGATTTCGCAGATGAAGTTCCGGCTTTTTTCATGGCTTGCTTTGTGCTTTGTCAAGTCCTCAATTGTTTTAAACGACCTGTCACACATCTGACACTGGTGTTTTGTTTCTGTCCAGTTCAAAGGATCTACATTAATAACGACATCTTCAGTGTCTTCACTCACTCTCTCAGGAAACTCTAAATGATCACCACCATTCTGCAAATATGAAAAATTTCTTGATCAACTACTCCTCAAATGTAATATGATTAATAAAATTATATTTGATTAAATTATAATTATATAAATTTATTTTGATTACATAAAATTATTATTTGATTAAATTAATAAAGTTTAGCTTAAAGGAAAATAATTTTTTACCTCATCTGAATATTTTTCATTTTCACGTTGAGAACCGGTCTCGGTTGAATCCTCTTCATAAGACTAAACAATAAAATTTATGCTACACCATAAAATTAAATTAAAAATAATTTAAATTAATTGATGCTCACGGAAGGAGGTAGAAAGTGATGGAACTGAATGTGCTTCGTGAGTTCTTCTTTCCTGTTGAACGATGTAGGGCATATATTGCACATATGGGCCCTCTGTTCTTTATGCAATTTTTCATGCCTGGTCAACTTATCTTTCCTAGGACAATAATAATAATAATAATCATTTATTTAATTACATTATTAAGTAGGCTGTACTTACCGATTGAAAGATAAACAACAGATCGGACAGGAGTAAGGTTTGACCCCTGTGTGTATAAAAGAGTGCCTGATTAGATCACCCCTCGTTGCGAACATTTTATCACACTCACCACATGAGAACGGCCTCCGCCCCGAATGCACTCGGGCGTGTTTGTTCAAATTTGTGCTCCTTGTGAAAGCTTTAAAACAAATTGGACAAACGTAAGGTCGTAAACCTGAGGGAAAATATGCAAAAAAAACAAATGGCCATAATTACCATAATCATGTAATACATGAATAAACAAAATATATTTACCTGTATGTATTACTAAATGTTTTCTCAAGTCAGATCTGTATGAAAAAGCTTTCTTGCAGGAAGGCTCCGAACACCGATAGGGCTTCACTTTGTCATGCCTAAGGTGATGTTTGAGCAGATGTTCCCTATTCACAAACGACTCACCGCAAGTTTGACACATGTGACAATTGCTTCCAGCATGTTCCTGTCTCCAATGAAGTCGCAATTCGGCTTTGTCTGACATAGACATTTCACAATAATCACAAGGAAAGGGACCATCCTAAAAAATAAATTGTTGACATTATTTATATTTGTTTTGTAAGCCAGTCCTCATCTTAGAAAAAGTTAGGAATAGTGTTAATATAAATTTAAAATAGTTGTGAAGAATTTTTAGAACAAATGTTTCATATGAGGTCATAAATTCACCCAGTAGGGAGCTAAGAAATGTTTCCTACAAACTTTGAAGACATAGAAACGCAACAGACAAATAGGCCCAAACAAATAACAAAAGTCTAAGAGTTAGTTAGTGTGGGAAGGTTGTTACAGGTCGCAAACACGGTACATCAAGATGAGGGTCACCGTGAATAGTCGCATCAGCTGGCTTGTTGCCTGAGACAAGGGACCAGAGGACTGCATCATGGAAACTCCTGAGAATTATGAGTTGTTCCGCAGCAGACCAGCCCTTGCAAGAAGGGAATTGACCACTGTCCTTCTGGCCCAACAGTTTTTGTTTTTCCTTTCTTCCTCCACCCTTGTTGGGAAACCGATATCAAAGAGTCAACAGAACCCAACGAGAGGACTCAATTAGCCAAATGAAGGATGGATGAAGACACCTGCAGAGACAAGAACGGCCCAAGATACAGGACTAGTCAATTGTAGTGTCTCGAAAGAAGAAGACAGAAGGAAGTCAGGGACTCAGTGAGAGCACACAGTCAACAGCAGCCTCACTCAGTCGGGGACTCAGTAAGAGGACTCCACCAGCAAAGACCTAGCCATTGCGACAAGTCGAACAGATTCGACTGCTGAGGATCCAGTAAGCTGTAGAAAGAAAATCCTGGATGACGCTGAAGGATATAGAAGCTGGTGTTGGTGATCATTTGGGATAAATCCTTGTAAATAAGCTCATCCCCAGGGCTAGAGTTGTTGCTGACTTGCCTTTTTTTCTTCTTTTTTTTAACTTTATTTATTACAATATTAAGACAGTTCAGTGGAAAATAAATGTTTATGAATATTATCTCTCTGGTTTGTTGAATTATTGAACCCTGCCTTCTCTCCGCACAAAAAGTTATTAAGCACATATGCTAAAGCTCTCCTATCTCTTAGCAATAAACACATAGACTGTCTGCATGTTTAATACATTAATAACTTATTACTGACTTACTTGTGAGTGAATAAGTTGGTGCCTTTCTAATTTTTTCTCATCGTCAAAATGCTTATTGCATGTCGGACAATTGTTAACACCATCGTCCGATTTTCTGAAATGTGTAAATAAAAGATAAAAAATTATTGATATTTAAGTAGTCATTTTATAAAACTATTTACGTTTCATTTTCATCTCCATTGATTTCCTCCTCGTTGTCACTAGTTTTCTCCTTTTTTATACAGTACTCTTCTTCTGAATAGTCATTTTCATTGACGCCATTGCATTGTCTTTCTAACATTGAGATGTCTTTGAACGTTTTAACACCCTTAAAAGATAAAGAACGATTTTAAGAAGTCCGGGTCACTTTAAAAAAAATTATTTACATGATATGACACGATCTGCCGAAGAAGCGCGTCCGATTGCTCACACTGAATCTTGAATTCGTTTATCTGTTCAACATGGTACAGACACCGGTGACAAATCAATGATGGAAGGCCATCACCTTCATGCATCTAAAAGATAAAAAATGTCTTTTTTTTAATATATAAATAATATGTATTGGAATCATAATTTACTGAATAATTTATAGCTTGTATTCATTTTGAAACATTAAAAATAATAAGAAAACAGGGCTTAATACAATTTAGTGGAAATACAAGAGGGAGATTTTAACTGTTTTATTTATCTTTAATACTTTAAAACGGATCAAATAATGTTGTAAGATAATCTACGGAGGATTGTCTAAGAGAATTAAAAATATTAAGGATGGCTACTTTTATTGCCTCTCAGTATATATTCCACACTTTAAATAATTTAACACTACTTTCATCCTGAAAAATTCTTTCATTAACAAGACTAAAAATAAATAAAAAAGTCACAGTATGCAGTATCTTCATCCATACTACAAGCGAAAGATATCCTAATGCTGCCAACTGGACTATACACCAATGATATTGCACTTTACTGTTCCTCCTGGAGGAATTGTCAAAAATATTAATATGAAGCACAAAAAAGTAAAGCATTTTTGCACTAGTTGGAAGCTAAAAATAAATACATCCAAAACAAGTTGTATTATGTGCCCTTGCCACTCCTGTAATATTTCACTTGAGGAAAAGTCTGTTAACTGGTCAAAGACGGTAACTACCTAGGTGTAACACATGACTTAAAGTTAACTTTTGGCACACACATAAATAATCTTGTAGGCAAAGGCAAAGCGGCAATACAAATTACTTTTCCTTTGCTCAGGAGGAATAACGCATTAAACATTAAATTATTAACATTCAAGACCGTAGTTAATCCGACCTTGCTATACACATACATGCCCATCAAAGTCGCTAGCCAAACAAACATTAATAACATGCAAGTAATTCAAAATAAATTTTTGCAGCTGGCCACCACCTCTGCCAGAAATTTAAGGCAAACATTCGTTCGTTCATTCCATACTACGAATAGCAAATGGAACTGTACAAAATAAATTATCCGTACATAATCAAAATTATGTCAACCAACAAACAAACTTATATTCATGCTTTAGGAGCTTTTGTATTTTTCATTATTATAATTATTATGTTCTAATTTTTAGTTTTTGTATAAAAAAGACGAAAGCTTCGACTGTATTCAAATTTAATATTCCTATTGACAGAATGATGCATTCAGCCAATAACTTTCCAAATCTTACAATTTTTAATTCTTCTTTTTCTTCGCTCTAGTCAAATGTGCACACATAAAATCTTGAATTATTATGTATATTTTAAGTTAAATTATCTTTCATTATATTCTGTAACAATAAAATATTTTTTGTAGAAATTATTTAACTTGCACTTCTGTACGTGCATACATATATTTCCATATTTAACTTATATAATTTCTAATTAAAATACTTAATATAATTAATTTAAATATGCACAAAATGCTCTTATTTTTACTTAATTAATCAACATATTTCTATGTAATCGTTTTCTATTATTTATATAATATTTTAAAATGTTATAATATTTCACAATGACAATTTAAAAATTTAAAATAATGGTAAATGTGATCTTTGTTTTGTATTGCTGTATTTTTATATTGTGTATTTATATATTTAAAATTGTTTTGTAAATTGGATTAATTCCGTAAAATATATTATTATTACATTATTTCCGTCAGTCTCTTTTGCAAATGGAGTTGGAAGGTCGGTTGGCATACTTGTCAACTCTCGACTGTTAAGTAGAAGACAGGGAGGAGAGGAAGTTGAGAGTTATAACCTCCGTGCAAATGCTGCATAAACTAAATAAGAAGGCATATCATAAAAATTGACCCCCATGCTGCTGATACATACGTCGATGTTGATGAAGCTCATTATCCTCTGAGAGAGGGGCAGAGAATTGTCGACCCCCGAGTTGCTAAATATGTAGGACATGACACCCTTCGAGTTTCTGCAGAGTCTGCATATCTCGCTGAGGTTGACGTCTCCGTCCTGGAGCTGGACGTCGTCGTGCCGGCCGAGAAAGTGGTCGAGCCGGATCATCGCCGCCGATCTTGAGACAACGGGCGCGGACGAGGCGCGCACCACCAGACTAGGTGACCAGGAAGAGCCGCCGGGGGTTGTTTTCGTTGAAAGGCGATAATAAAATCAATAAAGGCCCTGAGACGCCGCCCTGCTGGCCCTTAGCGTCAGTCGCCCCCTAGCGGCCCCCGCCGACCGCCCCACCTTTTCCCACCCTTAACACGGAGCCCTACCCCTAAGGGCTAAGGTCACTCCCCAGTCCCCACCGCAAGCGCCCTTACTTAAAGTCAAATACAAATGGTCGTCAAATTACGAAATTGCAGTTTCTCCATTTAAAAATTTTTTAAATTTAATTTGTTTATTAAAACTGGCCTTATTACACCAACCATTAATTTTACATCAATAGAATAAAGAAATGTTTATATTCTTATAAACCCACTGGTACAATAAGATTTATATTTCACTATTAATTAATTTTTAATTAAACTAGTTCATATGGCTTTGTTCTTTTTAATCTTTTGCAGTGTTTCAGTTATGTAGGAGTTTGGTCGCTTCCACATTGTGCTGGCATCTAAAATTTGCAATAAAACTTGTCCATAATATTCCAAAAAGATTCGGGAAAAAATTATAGAAATAGTCAACCCCTGAAGAATTGATGCCAATTTTTGTTTTTAAAAAATTCAGTTTTTCTCTCTCTCTCTCTCTCTCTCTCTCTCTCTCTCTCTCTCTCTCTCACACACACACACACACACACACACACACCCTTGCCCTCCTTTCTGTGTGTGTGTGTGTGTGTGTGTTGCTCTTTCTCTTACCCTGTTTTTGTGTTTGGTATGTACATATTGACAATTGTATTTATTTATACGGTCAATGTACATGTATATTTATACTAAAATATACTTCTTTTCTTTGATTTTTGTTTTCATTTTTCTTCATTTAATGTGTCGTTTAATTTTTTAAAGCGATTAAAGATATTTTCAAATCCTAATCCTATGCCAATTTTAAGTTGTTTATAGCTGGAAAATATTTTGCACATATGTATTAAGAATAACAATGCAAAATTAACATATTTACCAGAAATAAATTAGTTGAAAATGCATTGGATGCAGAAATATTGTGGATTGACGATCTATAACCACCTTCAAAATAAGCCTATAAATAAGGAAAATTAAATACAGAAATATGTACAATGAATAAATGTATAACTACAAGGAAGCACAATTTAAAAAAACATGACTTCTATAATGATATTAAATTATGTTAAAAATAAGTTTTTCCCTCCCTGTAAATTCGTATACACAAATTAGTATACACAATATATAAATGTGGTGTACCTTATACATCATTTGACACAAGGGGTTCCAGTTTTTGCTATATGAATTATATATTAATTTTAAACGTAGTAACTTCCTCCCACCATGAGCAATATCACTTTATCATCAGGAAAAAAAGGACATAAATTTATTTTTTATTTATTCATTATTTTTTTACTTCTTCTTATATATTTATAGTAAATTCGGCTGCATTGGGTTAAATAATCGACCCAAAATTGCACAATCTTCAAAAAAAACAAAAAACTTTTTTGTAAATATATTTACAATATATAAACTATAAATAAAACAAATAACTCGAAATAGTATATAAATAATGAAGAAAACAGAGATTTTATGTTTTTTCTTTTCAATTTTTGACATTTTTTTGTAAATCTGTTAGGCATTAATTCATTTTTTAAATAATTTATATCACACACAATAAAACGAACTTGATTAAAAATATAATAAAATTTTATTTGTAAGCAATACAATTAATAAATTAGGGTAAAGATTTTGAAAAATTTGTAAGTCAAATTTAAGAGCATTAATTTGATGAAATTTGTTTTTAATGTACATGCATTTTTATAAAAGAGTTTTCTTTTTAAAACTTGAATGGTATTTTTGTTAAATACATTTAAGATCATAAATATTAGTAAAAACTGAAACAACCATCATTTTTCTGCATTATTCTCACTAAAACAAACTCAATTAATTACTTTTAAACAAATAAATAGTTAGATAGATACACAGAGAGAGAGTTAGAGATAAAGAGATTTTGATACTATTAAAGAAAAAAATAATTTGTCATTTTTCTGATTATCCTGAGTTGCCTATTTTTTGGTTTGGACAGTAAGACAATTCTCTTCAGAGATTGGTCTGTCATTCTTGTAGTTGTTCATCACTCAGATCTCAATGAGAAATCAAACAAAATTATCTATAATAAAAATTTAAAAAAAGAAACGTTTTAACTGTATAAAAAATATTACGCCCAACGTGGGGCTCGAACCCACGACCCTGAGATTAAGAGTCTCATGCTCTACCGACTGAGCTAGCCGGGCACGTCAGAAGTGTGCCCGTTTTACCTATTTGAATCCAACTTCATAGGATTAGATTATCTATTTTAAGACCAGCGAGAATAAGCGGACCTCAATAACTCAAAAACAAAGAAAGAGAAAGCAATATTTAATTTCATTTTGTTCTAAATAAAATTAAAGCCATTGTTGTGGTATTTTTTTCTATTCTGGTCATATTGCCAATTAGGTCCTTTTGGCCTCAATTCATGCAAAATAATAATTTTAATTAATCCATATGTTTTGCGGTCATAATTGACCATATTAATTATTCTTTTTATCTAAGGTTTTTGGTTAAGATGAAAAATTAGTGTCACAAATTTATAAATTTAAATATTAGAATAATTTTAATATTATAAATAACCCATTCTATGGAAATTATCCCTGTAAACTTTAAATTATCTTGATATGATTGATACCAGCCTTAATATTACAACTTAAAAAAAAAAGAAAAAACAGAGATAAGATGAATTTAAAGAAAAAAAAGCCTGTGTTCCTTCAGTAAGCTTTCAAGAAATATATCCCATTCATGAGGACTTTGAAATTGTGTATTTCTAATGATGTACATTGTAAACAAACCAATCATAGTAATATTAATAATAAAATAATCTTTATTGCCAGAATGGTGAACAATTCAAAAATTGTAGTAAAATTTAAAAGTCAGGAAGTTTTATGTTTCACCTTTAACACCTAACCATAAAAAATATGAATTTAGCTTAGAGAGGGCAAGATTACCACCCCATCTACATTACAATTGTCTTGTAAACTTTAAATAATTTCTTACAAAACAATCTGCACTGTTTTCTGAAGAATTGTTAATATTTTGTTCACAATTTATTAATTATTTCTTCATTTTTTCCAGTCTTATTATTTCCTCTGTATTTTGTTGTATTCATTCAATTACTATTTATGTATGCATTTATATATTACTTAGTGTTCAATTGGATTGTGCAGATTTCCATCCAATATAAATAGAACCTTTTTCAGGCAATTAACAATCACAAATCAAAACATGGAGCACTGAAAAAAAAAACAACTAACATGTAAAAGACATTGTGTTGAAGCGGCACGTTAATTATTAGGTCCATCTTTATTCATGGGTTGGCTGAATTACTCAAATACATTTCCTTGTCCTCACTGAAGATGGCGCAATGCCAAAATCATGAGTAATTTATCAAACCCACGAGTAGAGTACCCAATAAGTAAACTAATGCTGGTCCAACATGAATTCACTGGCTTGTAGGCCAAGTGTATATAAAAGACACGCCAACCAGTCACTACTTGTATCATGTCATACTATCTTGGCAAACTATTTTTTTTTTGCATAATTTTACATCATTATGCAAAATAGGCTGTTTTTTCATGTATTTCTTGTAAAAATGATACATGTTTTAACAAAATCATTTCTATTATAGTGAAGAAGGGTATGTTTGAATGCATGAGCCCTGTCTCGGCTCTTAGACCAGGTTTTGGGTTCAATTCCCGTTGCCTCTGGCCTTTTTGTCATGCTCCCCTTCTCCCCAAAACACCATTGATTGTTCTACCTAATACTGAAATTAAATTAAAAAATAAAATAAAAAAGCATTAAAACAAATTCTCAATCCTCCAAATTCTTAATTTGTCTGTCTTTAATCTGCGGTTAATTAAATTTAATTAATCCTAAGTGTGTTTGCTGTCATAGTTTTACCATTACTGTGTAATTTGGCCTTTTTTGATTATTGATATCAATGATATTTGATTTTTTGGTTGCGTTGGTCTGTCAGACTTTTGCCATCTTTAGTGTTGGGTTTCGATGGCGAAAGATCAAAGCGTGTCTGACAGACCAATTCAGTAATGACCAAATTACAGATGCAGACCACAAAGAGAAAGATCTCAAGATTTATTTGTGGTTAGTTTTCAGACAAAATGTATAGTAAAATTACCTGTGCACCTAGGATCACTACTGTAAAACAAAACAGCTACAAAATATTCTAATAAATTTACTTGACCACTCTACATTTAATGTATTACAATTAGAAATTAAAGACCAACATGCATTAAAATGACATTTTGAGGAATGATGGGTCATTGTGTTAGAATACTGTTGACTCTTGATAATTTGAAACCCAAGGGACCACAAAAATAATCCGAATTATTAAGAGGAAAAAAGCTGTTGACATTTATTTCTCCAACTTACTACATAAATTGTACATATATACAATATCGTAAAGTAATGAAAAGGCGGAAATAGATCATTTGTAAAATTGAAGTTTTGCATTATTAAAAGAAAATGTGAAGCGTTTCTGTTTCATTGTGGCCTAGTGTCCTTTGTTTAAAGAATTAAACAAAGAAAATTTCGATTTATAACATGCTCTTTCTCTCCGTCACGAAAAATATTTTGTATTACCGAATGTGTCAAATTACACAGAATTTTTCCAATGAAGTGACCTACTGAGGAGTTCAGAATTAACAAGAGTCGACTGTATTTCATAAATTTGTATGTTTATGTGTAATATAAAGGACAACTGTATTTTGTTTTACAAATACAAAAAACAAACCAAAACATGCAGGACAGTTGTTAATATTTATTTCTAATAATAATTAATAATAAAATAAAAAACATAAATTACTAAGAACATTTATTATACAAAATTAAACAAAAAAAAGTATCACAAAAAACAATCAGAAGTAAAGGGAACTGACTCCACTCCTTGTTTCATGCTGGTTCAAATTAAACCTTTTTCAAAATAATTGTTTTGTTTCTGTTGGCAGTTAAAGCATTCTTGGTAGTTAAAATTAATAATAAAAATAAAATAATTTTTTTCATTAACAAATCAAATTGAAGAAGATTCAGGTAATAAATTTAGTCCTACTAAGTGCTTTTTTTAATCTTATTTTTTTTCAATGAATTTTATTGTAAACCTTAAACTTAAAAGCAACATATTTGCAATTTCTTTCCCCTTATTTATAATTTACAGGATGTCCATCTCTTTTTTCTCAACATTTTTTTTCTCTTTATTATTTATCAAATAAAATACTCGTTTGTATTTGAAATAGAAAAACGACGAGTTTGCCGCATCTGTAGATGATGACGATGGGTCATACAGCATGGTATGCAGACGGAGGTATAGTCGGTTGGTTTTCTAGCTTGCTGTAATCCAGATAGAACTCCTTAATGACCTTCCTCCAGTTGACGGCATCAAAGTAGTAGTAAGTCCCCCTTTCATATGTTGATGTCTTCTCCGTCACACCAAGTCCTGGAGCTTGTGTTATCCAAACCTTCTCCTCCATATGAAACCGCCACTCTCTACTATACCTGAAATTTTATCAAAAATTAATAATTTAATTTTTTTAAATTTAATTTTTTCAAACTTAGAAAAAAAATTACAATTCCGCTGCAGCAACAAGTTGCAACATATCACCGGCATTTGTATAATACATAAAGAATAACAAATCTTCTTTATACCTCGCTAGCTTCAATTGAGCCAATTTTTCTCTGTAAAAAGGCATTAGTTGAAAAGTTTCTCAAAATGATTTATATAAGTTACAATATACCTGATACTGTGGTTAATGATATATTCTGGTGGTACGTTGTAATCTATATCCTGCGCTCGACAAGGCATCTCCGCCCAGGGTCCACCAAAGGTGGGGTATAGGTTGTCAACGGAATTAAGGTTAAGACCTAGCGCAGTTAAGTCCTGGCCAAGTGCAAGGGATACTAGGTTGGGATCAGTCTCAGCAGCTCTTATGAATGTAAGTAAACCAACCATCCCGAATTGATCTTTAACCATACTGTTGGGGATGTTTGTCACTTTACCTATAGGCAATGGATCTTATCAGTCAAGAGTTGCTTTCCAATTGCATACTTAATATGAAATTAATTTAATATTTTGCACAAATGATGATAACATGTTAGGTTTAAAATTAAGTAATCATCTACAATGTGATGAACCTGCCCAGCAGTTTCATCTTAGTCTGCCTATTCTCCCAAAATAAAAATTTAAAAAAAATTTAAATTTAAATTTAAAAAAAGAAAAAGAAAAAAAGCAGACCAGGATAGTCAGAGGTCAGAGATGATTCGTACTACATATTCATATAATTATAAATATTTTATAAAAGCGAGGCTTTTGTTTTTTATTGATTTTTGTTATAAACTTTATTTTTATATGTTTTTCAATTAATTAATCTTTATGTAAGGTATTGGTTGAGATGAAAAAATTATTGTCATGAACGGGATTCAAACTCAGCTGAAGGTTGTGGGTTCGAATCCCGCTCGTGGCGCTAACTTTTTCATTTCAACCAATACCTTACATAAAGATTAATTAATTGAAAGAAGTTATTTGGTCAGTCGGACTACGAAATACAATGGATTTTTTTATATGTTGTGCAAGTCTTACTCAAATAGTGATTTAAAACGAAAGTACATAATTGAATATATTATGTGTTTGTTTATTTAAAGGTGGTATACATTTCTAAACTAACATTAAATTAAAAAAAAGAAAAAAATTAATAACTGCAAATGAAAAAACAGTTTACTACCATCAGGAGAGGTCTGAATCCCCCGTTTCACGGGCTGTTTTGAGGTCTCCTGTGTTTGAGGTATTCTAGAAGAGGTGGGTTGCATCGTGTCTTGACTGGATGTTGTCGACTCGCTGCTGCTGCCCACTTTCTCCGCCGTTCCCGTTGACGTACCCGCCGTCGAGTTGGTGCCCGACGCCCCGCTCACGCTCGTTCCCCCACCTGTCCCCCCGCCACTACCTTCGGCACCAGTGCCGGGTAACGCTGGGAAATCTTCAGATGACATTGTGAACTCACTAGATTCGGCAGTTGGTTGTTTCACCATGCCGACTGAACAACAAAAAGCAAAGCACACCCAAAAATTAACGCCTTGAAATTCAAAATGGTTTCTTATATTGTTTTAATAGACCCATTACATATTTTTTAAACACATTTCCATTTTTGTAAATTATTTTATATGTCTTAAATAAAAGTGTTCTCACTATAACCTTTTTCTCACAACTGGTCTACTAATAATAACATTGAAAATTAAGTTTTAAAAATAAAAACTTTCCATCTGTTTTTTGTAAACATTAAATATAAAAGATCACCTCACAATCTAAAATAAAAACGTTCTCATTCATTTTTATTTGATTTTAATATATTTAATAAAAAAATTTACAAAAAGAATTTTTATTTTTTGACTAAAATTGTATCAAAACTTTTCCTCAATTATTTCAAATTACATTTGAACTGATAAGAAACAAAAAGTGTAAACTTTTTTAAAATCAAATATCTGAAAAATAAAAAATGTTTAACTAAAAAAAAATTTTTAAAGTTTAAATTAAATAAAAATAACAAGTTGAAAAAAAATTGAATATACTTACATTCTCACACACAAACACTCATGAAACAAACATACATACATGCACATGGTTGTAAATGGAAATGTTTATTTTATATAAGGTTACCTAAGATATTGTAAAGAGTAAATGAAAATATGAAATTAAGCATTTGTAAAAACCCTCGACCGAGAAAAAGAAAAAAATTAATGTCATTTTGTTAATAACATTTTCATCATGCAAAGAATTAATGGCGATTATGATATTTGCAATGAGTCTATTAATAAAACAAATCAAACCTCTAAAATAAAAATTGTTAAAAAAAAATAATACTAACAATTTAAGCGGACTTTACCATAAGGTTGTTTCCCCGCTGGAAGCGTACTAGGTTGAGGAACCGAGTCTCCCTGCCCACCCCTATTGGTGAGTGATGGGAACTCAGAGAGGTCTAGAAGCGGAGGGGTCGAGGAGTCGCCAGTTCCTCCACCACTGCTTCCACTGAACACAGAGTGGAAGTTGGCTAGCCCCTGAGATCCATAACTCCGGCTCGCAGCTGCTGCTGCCGCCATCCCAAAGTTGGCTGCCATTGAGCTTGAACTCCTAAATTAATAAGTGGATATAAGTGCAAATACAAGCAATAACAAAACATCTCAGATTTAGTTTAATTGCCCATGAATTAAATTTTGTATTGTTTTTTCTTATCATGCTGATTAATCAATTGACAAAGAATTGTATTATATCTTTTGTCAGAACTGAGTAACGGGGAGAAAAAAAAAAAAAAAAGAGAGAGAGAGAGAGAGAGAGAGATCAGAACAAACAACAAAATTCCTCTCTAATGAGTTTATATACTAAAAAATAAAAAAAAAAAAATCTTTAAAGATCAAATATTGCAGGCTTAACAAAAACCACAACTTTTAGTTAAAACTAAAAATTCTCATCAATCTACCAAATATCTTGTATTTAAAGCTAAAAATTCTTTACTAACCATATAAAAAACCTTGCATGAAAGATTATTATTCAATTTTTCAGGGCTACGGATAACAAAATAAAATCTTCCAAGCTTATCATAACAAAACAGATATTTCCTAAAATGACAATATTATGAAAACACAAATTGTAAATAGATTTCAGACCTTGGTGCCGAGGCAGCATGCGAATAAGAATGAGCCTGATTGACCCAACATTTCAGTTTTGTCGAATCGCACGGAAACAATATTTTACCATTCGACCAGGCCATTTATGAAGTCACCAGTTCAATATCCAGAAGAGAAATAAACCCAACTCAGCAGGCAGATATGACAGGGAGGAATGAATCACACAACACAACATTTAATGGGCTCTCCCTAATAATCAATTTATTTTACCATTGTGTTAAAAAACAGAATTATCATGAACAAAAGAAAAAAAAAATGAATAAAAAGTTAAATTAGTGCCAAGGTAAAAAGGACGTTTGTGCATCCAAAAAGAGGTAATTGTTTTTGTAAATTCTTTGGAGCAAATATATTTCATTAGGAAAAAATTTCAGTATTTCAATTCAATTCAATTTTCAGTATGATCAACTTACCAGTCTTGTATCACAGAACCCAGGCCAGGAATCTGCCGCCTCTCTGGGAACGCCCTCTGGCCAAAAAGAGACCTGTTGGTCATGGCTGCTGATAGCCCTCGGTTGGGCGAAAGTTGCTGGGGAGTGAATGATGTGCCACCGCCACTCGTTCCCCCTCCGCTCCCGGGGAACATCCCTGACGTTGGTGTTACATGCCCTGACAATGAGCTAGAACTGAAGCCCCCTCGGCTTAAACCCTGACTTGCTATACTCCTTGGTGGCTGTTGAAAATTGAGGTTTGCCATAACATCGGCCTGAAATAAAATAAATTGACCAAATTATGGTTTTCTTCTACTTTTTTTTAATTAAAAAATAACTAGAAAAATAATTAAAATTTAAATACAGTAAATTTATAACTGACAGATGCAGAAAGTTGTATATTTACAAAAACATAATAAAAAAAGCAATAAACACAGAACAAAATCAACAAGAAATATTATTTCATAAGATTCAAGGCTAGCTATTTTATAACTTAACAGTTGTTTTGAACTTCTGTCTTATTCCGAAGTAATCTCTTTTCCCAGCTCAAGTTTATTAGTAGTACATCAAAATTTAATATATTAAACAGGCATCGCACTACGTATAATACCAATAGTGACAAGTCACTCAATAACGAGAGAGCCATTTTCCGCATAAAGTACAAAAAGGAATAACACCCTATACGGGATTTGTTCTTCTTCTCACAGTAGTAAACTTTTTTTGACAGGGTTTGCAACAACAGAAGTCATACCTTAGTTGTCTATTAATTACAAGCATCGATCCTCTGTTTTATTAAATATTTGGCTTGCATAGGGTGTAACAATGTAGTCGTATATTTAGTACCCCAAGTGATAACTACCAGTGCAATAAAGGGCTGCATTGGAGGCTTAAAAAACCTACTTGTTAAGTACCCAACCAATTTATACAAATCTGCATTCATTTGAGGCCTAAAACACCTAACTGTCCATTAAGTACCCCATCAACCCTCAAATTAATTTCTTAGCATGCATCAGTTTAAAAAAATTGTGATTGTACATTAATTAATCAATCTTTTGGTTTGTCAAATATTTTGCAATGGTGTGAGTTAAAAAATCAGGCATAATAAATAATAAGAGCATGCAACAAAACCTATAAAATCCTAGTTGTCCAGTAAGTACACCATCGACCATAAGGTTAATTACTTGACATGCTTTATGAGCTAAAAAACTGCTAGTTGTCATTAAGTACCCATAAAGTGTCAGGTTAATTACCTGGCATGCTGTAGGAGCTAAAAAAATACTATTTGCCTATTATGTACCACATCGGCCTTCAGATTAATAACTTAGCATGCTTTGGGAGCTAAAAAACTTAGTTGTCCATTAATTAACTAATCAACCCTTTGGTTTGTCATATATTTTGGAAGGGTGTGTGCTAAAAAAAGTAAACAGTTGTCCATTAAGTGCCCCATTGAAATTTCAGTCAACAGAGAGGGATATCTGAGATGGCAATGGCACAGAATTGATGATCCAGGGCATTAAGATATTTGGAAAAAGATTTATGGGGATTTTTGTAACAGGTTTTCATTACTTCTGTAGCAAAGGAAATATTAAGGTCTCTGTATAGGGTGAGGTTTGACACATAAAATGAAGGTTAACTATTTTTCTTATAACTTTTGAGTGGAATATTTGGATGCGTTGGTAGTTGGAATGCTTGGTTCACACCGAGAGTTTGATACCATAAGTCAATAAAGGTTTGAGAACCATGAAACATTTTTTTATTAAGAGTGGATCGTCTGTTAAGTAGTGACAGTTTGTAACGTCTGTTTGGTTTTAATTTTGGTAGAGCCCCAAGTAATGTACGTGCTTTGTCAGGGGGTTGTGAAATCCCATTAAAGAAAACAGTTGATAGTATAATGTCTGAGTGTGAAGTTGCATTTATTTCATTTCTCCATTTTTTAAGACCAAACAACAAGCAAATGGTTTTGAAGGTTTCTGTATGCGGTGGTGGGTTCTTTATGCAGGGAAAGGATTGCCGGAAAGTCAATAATATAAAAATTCAGCTCCCAGGTCTTGTCCGCCCGTCCCAGAACAATGATCAACTTGGCCGTTTTAGTCCCCAATTGCACGTTTTAACCTAAATACACATGTATTTCAATAAACTGTTCATTCAAAAAGGTCGATGGAGTACTCAATATTCTTTTATTGCCCTGAACACCAAAAGCACAACTCTTCTAAGTAAGACTTTGGTACGGTACTTAATATCGTACTTCTCACACTATATATTAACATTATGATCTACAACTATAATAATATAAAAAAACTCTATTCTCACATAAAATTTATTATCAATATATATAGAAGTACGTGTTTTGTTGGTGTTTATCTTTAATAATTACAAATTTTCTATATCAGGTATTTATTGATTACTCGTATGAACTGTTAGACACGAAATTATTGTTATCAATTATTTCCCTTTGTTTAAAAAACAGACAGAATTTAACGGAACAGATAAACGGGAAGGTCTGTTGAATAAAATCAATATGAGTTAAAAGTTCATTATGAAAGTTTTGAAAAGTGGAAGAAAAATTTAACTTGAGGACGCAGATTTTTTGTTGTTTGAAAAATGCGAACACTCAAAAGGTAAAATAGTGTTTCGGTTTGTAAAAAGTCCACTTAATTATACGATGAAGAGTGGAAAGAAGCGTTTTAAAACAAATGTATACAGATTTGACAAGGGTGAAAAAGAAGGAAGCTACTCAAATGAGTACTAGAGGTTAAATTACACGATATCCTAATCAATTAAATTGTCGTCAGAGGATCGAAGGCACGTTTAAAACGGTTATTTTTTAAACAATAAATAAGGTTTTTGTTTAAATAAAAAAAAACTCCGTCTAGGAAGTTGGAAGGCAACCTCAACATCGGTACAAAAGGGTCGAAATCCTCTCGGCCCACGAGGTCCGACTTGTTATTTATAAAGAAGGTCCTTTTAACTTTCCAGACTGCGTTAATAAATAAAAAATTTCAACGTACGTGAGTTTGTTTTTTGGAATTATGTTTTGTGCAGTCTCAAAGAACAATACAACAAGAAATCAGCCATATTTAACTACAGAATTCGACAGACTTAATCAAACAACGAACAAAATGCAATTTGTAACATTTGTTCCGAAGAGGCTTTTCATAAAGGATTTCGATGAGATAAAACGATACCGGGTTTCTTAAAAACCCTTGCAATATTTTATCAGAGTGTATTTCATAGGAAAATTCCATTTGAAAACATGACCGACATAGGTTAACATTTCAAGGATTCGATTACGAAACGAATGACGTCAATTATGAATACATAAAGAAAGATCAAGAATTCCTTGAAAATTACATCCAAATACAAAATATATTTTAAAGACTTTAATCATCGTGATTTACCGAGTCACAAATGAAAAATATATTTTATCTGTTTTAACTGTATTTCTTTGATTTGAACTGGTTTCAATCGACTAACCGTTTTCATCCGGCTCTGATGTCAGATTATCGATCAGCTGAAAGTTGAAAATCAGCTGGCACTGCAAAGGTTGAACGTCGAAGTAGAACGAGTAGAAAAAAAGTGGGCTGGGCACTCGCAGTTAATTCACCTTACGGACTTCGACTGTTAATTTCTCTGCTTAAGCATTTATTCAAATCTCACAGCTTTTCACTCAGCAGACGAGAAACAACATAATTCAGGATGGCTCTCAGCGACGCAGACGTTCAAAAGCAGGTTAGAAGAGAAAAACGAGACGAGTTTTATACACCCTGTGATATATTTTTTAACTTGTAATAAAGCATAATTTGCGTTTTGTGTTCGATTTATTGTCGTATGTATAATTTTTTATACTAAAATGTACATAGGAACATTCTTATAATGGAAAAAAAAGATTAACAAGCAGTGAAATTCTGTCAAACGAATCTCAACGTCTTATCTTAATAAAAAAGAAAAAATCAATTTATGGCATAGTTAATCATAATCTATTATTTTAACTAATATTCTTATTTATACAGTAAATAAAATACATTGGAAATAATTATTGAAATCATTACAGATTATCTTAAGTGCCACGCCCACTTTTGTTCCAATCAGACAACAATTAAAAAAACAAAAACTTTCGCCTTGGAATGCCACTAATGATTTTACGGTTTAAAAGCCCGATTTTTATTTATTTTAACTAAAGTTAATTTAAAACGATTTATTGAGATGTCTATGATAGCTTACATAACTAGAACTGTGTTCATGAGGAAAAAAAGTTTCCATTCATTACCACTTTCCCCCTTACCATTTCAATTGCCCCATTTGATACAACTGAATAAAAATCATGTAAAAACAAAGTTTGAAATAATATTTGGCCGATTGATAAGGTGAAAGTATAAATGGTGCGCATAAAAAGGCTAAATAAACATACAATTCTGTAGAAGAAGTGTGCATGCCTGCATGTGTGTAACAATTATTGTTGTTAATTTGTTGGTGGCTCTGCAAGATGTGAAATTTCAGTTTGTTCAGATCATCTCCGTCATCAATGACACTGCGATTGGACTACAATTCATTTTGGAATTGACGGTGGTCTATCGGTTTGATTGAGCTGGTGAACACATGTTGAATCAGTTAGCACTGGGTCTGTCTAAACTCACTTTTTTTTTTAAATGTAAATGCATTGCACCATCTTCAGTGAAGAACTGTTTTCTAACACCATTTAATATACAACCCAGCAAGTGACTCAGTGCTGGTTCAACATGTCAACTTCCATTTTTTTTTTTTTTTTTTTTTTATAGATTTTTTTAAACGATGTTGATTGGGATTCGGGTTGTGGTCTTCAAACATACAATGTTATTATATCAACGCGTTGATATAATAACATTGTATGTTTGAAGACCACAACCCGAATCCCAATCAACATCGTTTAAAAAAATCTATAAAAAAAAAAAAAAAAAAAAAATGGAAGTTGACATGTTGAACCAGCACTGAGTCACTTGCTGGGTTGTATATTAAATGGTGTTAGAAAACAGTTCTTCACTGAAGATGGTGCAATGCATTTACATTTAAAAAAAAAAGTGAGTTTAGACAGACCCAGTGCTAACTGATTCAACATGTGTTCACCAGCTCAATCAAACCGATAGACCACCGTCAATTCCAAAATGAATTGTAGTCCAATCGCAGTGTCATTGATGACGGAGATGATCTGAACAAACTGAAATTTCACATCTTGCAGAGCCACCAACAAATTAACAACAATAATTGTTACACACATGCAGGCATGCACACTTCTTCTACAGAATTGTATGTTTATTTAGCCTTTTTATGCGCACCATTTATACTTTCACCTTATCAATCGGCCAAATATTATTTCAAACTTTGTTTTTACATGATTTTTATTCAGTTGTATCAAATGGGGCAATTGAAATGGTAAGGGGGAAAGTGGTAATGAATGGAAACTTTTTTTCCTCATGAACACAGTTCTAGTTATGTAAGCTATCATAGACATCTCAATAAATCGTTTTAAATTAACTTTAGTTAAAATAAATAAAAATCGGGCTTTTAAACCGTAAAATCATTAGTGGCATTCCAAGGCGAAAGTTTTTGTTTTTTTAATTGTTGTCTGATTGGAACAAAAGTGGGCGTGGCACTTAAGATAATCTGTAATGATTTCAATAATTATTTCCAATGTATTTTATTTACTGTATAAATAAGAATATTAGTTAAAATAATAGATTATGATTAACTATGCCATAAATTGATTTTTTCTTTTTTATTAAGATAAGACGTTGAGATTCGTTTGACAGAATTTCACTGCTTGTTAATCTTTTTTTTCCATTATAAGAATGTTCCTATGTACATTTTAGTATAAAAAATTATACATACGACAATAAATCGAACACAAAACGCAAATTATGCTTTATTACAAGTTAAAAAATATATCACAGGGTGTATAAAACTCGTCTCGTTTTTCTCTTCTAACCTGCTTTTGAACGTCTGCGTCGCTGAGAGCCATCCTGAATTATGTTGTTTCTCGTCTGCTGAGTGAAAAGCTGTGAGATTTGAATAAATGCTTAAGCAGAGAAATTAACAGTCGAAGTCCGTAAGGTGAATTAACTGCGAGTGCCCAGCCCACTTTTTTTCTACTCGTTCTACTTCGACGTTCAACCTTTGCAGTGCCAGCTGATTTTCAACTTTCAGCTGATCGATAATCTGACATCAGAGCCGGATGAAAACGGTTAGTCGATTGAAACCAGTTCAAATCAAAGAAATACAGTTAAAACAGATAAAATATATTTTTCATTTGTGACTCGGTAAATCACGATGATTAAAGTCTTTAAAATATATTTTGTATTTGGATGTAATTTTCAAGGAATTCTTGATCTTTCTTTATGTATTCATAATTGACGTCATTCGTTTCGTAATCGAATCCTTGAAATGTTAACCTATGTCGGTCATGTTTTCAAATGGAATTTTCCTATGAAATACACTCTGATAAAATATTGCAAGGGTTTTTAAGAAACCCGGTATCGTTTTATCTCATCGAAATCCTTTATGAAAAGCCTCTTCGGAACAAATGTTACAAATTGCATTTTGTTCGTTGTTTGATTAAGTCTGTCGAATTCTGTAGTTAAATATGGCTGATTTCTTGTTGTATTGTTCTTTGAGACTGCACAAAACATAATTCCAAAAAACAAACTCACGTACGTTGAAATTTTTTATTTATTAACGCAGTCTGGAAAGTTAAAAGGACCTTCTTTATAAATAACAAGTCGGACCTCGTGGGCCGAGAGGATTTCGACCCTTTTGTACCGATGTTGAGGTTGCCTTCCAACTTCCTAGACGGAGTTTTTTTTTATTTAAACAAAAACCTTATTTATTGTTTAAAAAATAACCGTTTTAAACGTGCCTTCGATCCTCTGACGACAATTTAATTGATTAGGATATCGTGTAATTTAACCTCTAGTACTCATTTGAGTAGCTTCCTTCTTTTTCACCCTTGTCAAATCTGTATACATTTGTTTTAAAACGCTTCTTTCCACTCTTCATCGTATAATTAAGTGGACTTTTTACAAACCGAAACACTATTTTACCTTTTGAGTGTTCGCATTTTTCAAACAACAAAAAATCTGCGTCCTCAAGTTAAATTTTTCTTCCACTTTTCAAAACTTTCATAATGAACTTTTAACTCATATTGATTTTATTCAACAGACCTTCCCGTTTATCTGTTCCGTTAAATTCTGTCTGTTTTTTAAACAAAGGGAAATAATTGATAACAATAATTTCGTGTCTAACAGTTCATACGAGTAATCAATAAATACCTGATATAGAAAATTTGTAATTATTAAAGATAAACACCAACAAAACACGTACTTCTATATATATTGATAATAAATTTTATGTGAGAATAGAGTTTTTTTATATTATTATAGTTGTAGATCATAATGTTAATATATAGTGTGAGAAGTACGATATTAAGTACCGTACCAAAGTCTTACTTAGAAGAGTTGTGCTTTTGGTGTTCAGGGCAATAAAAGAATATTGAGTACTCCATCGACCTTTTTGAATGAACAGTTTATTGAAATACATGTGTATTTAGGTTAAAACGTGCAATTGGGGACTAAAACGGCCAAGTTGATCATTGTTCTGGGACGGGCGGACAAGACCTGGGAGCTGAATTTTTATATTATTGACTTTCCGGCAATCCTTTCCCTGCATAAAGAACCCACCACCGCATACAGAAACCTTCAAAACCATTTGCTTGTTGTTTGGTCTTAAAAAATGGAGAAATGAAATAAATGCAACTTCACACTCAGACATTATACTATCAACTGTTTTCTTTAATGGGATTTCACAACCCCCTGACAAAGCACGTACATTACTTGGGGCTCTACCAAAATTAAAACCAAACAGACGTTACAAACTGTCACTACTTAACAGACGATCCACTCTTAATAAAAAAATGTTTCATGGTTCTCAAACCTTTATTGACTTATGGTATCAAACTCTCGGTGTGAACCAAGCATTCCAACTACCAACGCATCCAAATATTCCACTCAAAAGTTATAAGAAAAATAGTTAACCTTCATTTTATGTGTCAAACCTCACCCTATACAGAGACCTTAATATTTCCTTTGCTACAGAAGTAATGAAAACCTGTTACAAAAATCCCCATAAATCTTTTTCCAAATATCTTAATGCCCTGGATCATCAATTCTGTGCCATTGCCATCTCAGATATCCCTCTCTGTTGACTGAAATTT